ACATATACCGTGAAACCATGGTTGTTACAGTGCTTCAAAAGCATCTGTCGAGATAGAAATCCTCAGAATCCTTACTACATAAAATCAGTCTTAATATTTGCTGTGCGATATGATGATTCTTTATTCCGCTGAAGCTGCTATTTGCTCCGATATGGGAGAATCACAGAGTGACTGAGATTTGGAGTGAGATCGTATTGATCTTGCTTTGCGGTCCATGAAAGAATAGGCTGATGCTTAAGAAATGGATCAAAAGAAGTACTGATGATAGTCGATAACAAACCTTTTCAAAAGGGAATAGTTTAATAAAATCTGTATTTTGATATGGTTCTGTTGCTTGCTTGTACAGTAAACAAGACTGTGTTGTTTTTTTTACCGAGATCTTTACCAATATTTAAAAAAAAGAAAATAAAGTTTGTACATGCAAAATAATTAACCCCCTTGACTAGGAAAGCAGTATTACATGTAATTACACAGTTATTCAGACGTATCATTTGGATTGTGCTGGTTATTGTATTTTCTCTCCCATTCCCCAGAATCGTATGTATGACTTGTTCGGCCCATCATAACAATGTCTTAGCAATAGTCAAAACATGCCACAAAGAGAAAAAAAGGGATAGCAATTCTTCATCATGAAAGGATGTATTCCATATTTAATATTTTTGCCCTTTGTAATATATAGCACTTTTGTTTGATCTTGTATGTATCCATGATATAGCCAAAGTTTTCCAGACACGGTTGTTGACTTAGTCAATGGAGTATCTCAACAATACCATCACTTTTGCACCCTTCCCACATAATCTCTCCCCGCCCCAAAATAAAGCCCTAAACATAATTTTTAATAAATTTATGAAATAAAGTATTTTCCTAATTATGGTCAAGTGGATTTGCTTACCATTCTAGTGATGATCTTTCTCTGTATTGAGGCAATTTTACAGTCGCAATGTGTGGTTGATACAGATTTTGAATATGAAGTCAAAGGTTTTATCAGTCTCTGTTTGAAACATGTAGCTCTTTCAGCAAACCGATATGCAAAGTGCGGCTGCATAACGTCAAGGAGCCTTCATTAGAAATACATTCGTGCTGAAATTTCAGTGCAAAAGATATCCAGTATGGTGGAGAAGTGTATGTGGGTAGTGACTAAAGAACCTTAGCTGTTATTGCCTTGTATTTCTCTCCCTTGTTTCAGGCTTCACGGTCTGTCCTGGTCCCGTTTCTTTTCTTTTGAACGTTTTGCAATATTTGCCAGTTGTGTTCTGTGTAGTCCGGATTTTGCTTTCTTGTAGTTGAACAAGCGTCTTAAGAGTCCTTTGTAATTTATTGAATTACTTTCTATGATGTTCTATAGAGCAAATGGAAGTTTAATTATTTTTTATTAAACATATTCTTTGACAACCCATGATGTTGGCCTCAGTACATTACAAAGTTCAGTTGTACGGATTTGCAAAGCAGTTGATTCCTGAAGCCATTCACTATTTGGGGAATTTATTCATGGAATCGAAGAGTTGGAGGAGACCTCAAGGGCCATCCAGTCCAAGCCCTTACAATGCTTGAGTGCCAAAAGTTTATTACCGAAAATAACAGTAGTGTTCCAGTCTATTGCAACCTCCAAGTGTGTGAGGACTATGTCACTTAACCTTCCCAGTATGCATTTTCAATGTTTCTTTCCTTCCTCTATTTGTTCATAGACTTCCCTCTTTTCTTTCCTTCTTCCCTTGATATCCCTCATACAACTTATCTCCTCTTATTTCTTCTCTTCCTTTTTCTCTCTCTTCAATCTTTTCCTGTCTCCTTTCTGCTCCCTTCCTATATCCGTCTTTCCTTCCTTCCTCTTCCCTTCATTCTTTCTTCACTCCCTGTCATGATCTTCCTTCTGCTTCCCTTTTTCCTTCTTCACTCCCTTCCTATGTCCCTTTTCTTTTCTTCCTTTTTCCTTCTTCGCTCCCTTCCTGTGTCCCTTTTCTTTTCTTCCTTTCTTCTGCTTCCCTTCTTTTTTCTATTCACACCCTTCCTGTGTCCCTTTTTTCTTTCCTTCCTCTTCTTTTTTTTCTTCACTCCCTTCCTGTGTCAATTTTCTTCCTTTCTCTTCCCTTTTTTCCTTCTTCGCTCCCTTCCTGTTTCTTTCCTTCCTTCCTCTTTCCTTCTTTTTCTTTCTTCACTCTCTTCCTGTGTCCCTTTCCTTCCTTTCTTTTACTTTCTTCACTTTCTTCCTCTTCCCTTTTCTTTCTTCAATCTTTTCCTGTCTTCATTCTTTCCTTTTCTCTTCCTGTGACTTGTTTCTTCCCTTACTCTTTTCCTTTTCCTTCTCCCGCATTCACATCATCTAGCAACAGCCAGTCTCCTTCACTTCCTTTATTCCCCAGTCACCTGATAGAGAACCATTTCACAGAGCCACAGCCAATCCGCTTTGTTCCTTTCTTTCTCTGCTCTGGATCTGAAAAGAGTGGTTCTTTCAGTTCAAACCTCTCAAGTATTTTTAGGTTGGATCATGAAGGCGATGTGTGCCAAGTTTGGTCCTGATGCATCAAGCCCTGGAGAAGCCTTTGTGGTACAAACCAAGCAACACCAAGACACTTTGGCTTTTTATAGAGAGATTTAAGGCCTGATTGGTTTTGTGGACTTCAGCTCCCAGAAGCCTCATCCTTCTGGGCCTGTTGTTGTTTGTTTGTTCAGTCACTTCCAACTCTTTTGTGACCTCATGGACCAGCCCACACCAGAGCTCTGTCGGCCGCCATCACCCCCAACTCCTTCAAAGTCAAGTCGGTCACTTCAAGGATATCATCCATCCATCCATCCACCTTGCCCTTGGTTGGCCCCTCTTCCTTTTTCCTTCCATTTTTCCCAGCATCATTATCTTTAAGATTTCCTGTCTTCTCATGATGTGGCCAAAGTACTTCATCTTTGCCTCTAATCTCCTTCCCTCCAATGAGCAGTTGGGCTTTATTTCCTGGACTGATTGGATCTTCTCACGGTCCAAGGCACTCTCAGAACTTTCCTCCAGCACCACAGTTCAAAAGTGTCTTATCTTCCTTCGCTCAGCCTTCCTTATGGTCCAGCTCTCACATCCGTAGGTTACTACATGGAATACCATTGTTTTTAACTATGCGGATCTTGGTTGCCAGTGTGATGTCTCTACTCTTCACTATTTTATCAAGATTGGTCATTGCTCTCCTCCCAAGATATGAACATCTTTTGATTTCCTGGCTGCAGTCTGCATCTGAAGTAATCTGCACCTAGAAATATAAAGTCTGTCACTGCCTCGTTTTCTCCCTCTATCTGCCAGTTATCTATCAGTCTTGTTGCCATAATCTTGGTTTTTATGTTTAACTGCAACCCAACTTTTCCACTTCTTTCAACTTGGTTAGAAGTCTCCTCAGTTCCTCCTCACTTTCGGCCATCAAAGTGGTGTCATCTGCATATCTAAGGTTGTTAATGTTTCTTCCAGCAATTTTAACCCCACCCTTGCATTCGTCAAGCCCCACACATTGCATGATGTGTTCTGCATACCAGTTGAATAGGTTGGGTGGGAGTATACAACCCTGCCGTACTCCTTTCCCAATCTTGTACCAGTCTGTTGTTCCATGATAAGTTCTGACTGTTACTGTGGAAATCATCTATCAGACAGATGGCAAGCTATTTAACCTCAGCAGACTGAAAGCCAAAAACAAGGTTACAACCACATCTGTTATACAACTACAGTATGCTGATGACGTCGTCTGTGCGCATTCAGAAGACCTACAAGCCACTCTAAACACTCTAAACATCAAACCACCTCTCAAAGAAAGATTCCCCCAGGCATTTCCAAGCCATTAAATGCTAATCAAGGTGGTCAGTTGAAACATTCCCACCTAGCTCCAACAGACAAGAGTCCTTTGTCCCACCCTGGTCATTCCACAGATATATAAACCCATTTTCCTACTTCCAACAGACCTCACTACCTCTGAGGATGCTTGCCATAGATGCAGGCGAAACGTCAGGAGAAAATGCCTCTAGAACAGTGTTTCTCATCCTGGGGGTCGGGACCCCAGTGGGGGTCGCAAGGGGGTGTCAGAGGGGTCACCAAAGACCATCAGAAAACATAGTATTTTCTGTTGGGCATGGGGGTTCTGTGTGGAAAGTTTGGTCCAATTCTATCATTGGTGGGGTTCAGAATGCTATTTCATTGTTGGTGAACTATAAATTCCAACAACTACAACTCCCAAATGGCAAGGTCTATTTTCTCCAAACTCTACCAGTGTTCACATTTGGGCATATTGCGTATTTGTGCCAAGTTTGATGCAGATCCATCCTTGCTTGAGTCCACAGTGTTCACTGGATGTAGATGAACTACAACTCCAAAAACTGAAGGTCAATGTCCACCAGACCTTCCCAGTATTTTCTCTTGGTCATGGGAATTCTGTGTGCCATATTTGATTCAATTCCATCATTGATGGAGTTCAGAAGGCTCTTTGATTTAAGGTGAACTATAAATCCCGGCAACTCCAGCATTACCAAATGACAAAATCAATCACCCCCAACCCCACCAGTATTCAAATTTTGGGCGTATCGGGTATTTGTGCCAAATTTGGTCCAGTGACTGAAAATACATCTTTTCTGCATATCAGATATTTACATTGCAATTCGTAACAGTAGCAAAATTACAGTTATGAAGTAGCAACGAAAATAACGTTATGGTTGGGGGGTCACCACAACATGAGGACCTGTACTAAGGGGTCGCGGCATTAGGAAAGTTGAGAACCACTGCTCTAGAACATGGCCATATAGCCTGGAAAACCTACAACAACCTCCCACTCCTGTTTTCATCCGGGAGCGCAAAGCTTTGTGGGAAATGTAGTCCGCAGCAAAAATGACGGCATTTATTTTTTAAAGCCCCCACAGGCGCGCCTGCGCACAAGCAGCGCGCTGATTGGAGGTAGTTCTAGCTTTGGCACCCAATCAGCGCAGAGGACGGGAGGGGTGAGGTGTTTAGATTCGAACGCGGAGGAAGAAGGAAAAAAAAAATCCCTCCCTTCCAGCGGCGCATGCGCAGTGAGCGGCAGTGCGCGAGCGCCATCCCCTCACGACGCCCCTCAGTCAACACCATGTTGGGCGGCGGAGACGACGGAGGGGGAAGCGGCGAGGGGGCGGCGGAGGCGCCCGAGGAAGAGGAGGAAGGGAAAGGCAGCCCGGAGGATGAGGATGAGGAGGAAGAAGAGGCGGAGGACGATGACGGCGACACCCGGCAGCGCTACGAGGAGCTCTGCTGCAGCCTCAACATGGACGAGAGGGCCCGGGCCGAGGCCTGGCTCAGCTTCCAGGGCATGAGGAGGAACTACACTCTCGAGGTGGGAGGGGCTTCTCGGAGAGGGGGCGGGGCTAGTGACAGAGGGGCGGGGCCTTCCTTAATGGGGCGGGGCTTGTGCCAGGGGGCGGGGCCAGGCTGGTTGAGGAAGGTCTGTTGTTATTGACATTAGATCAGTGTTTCTCAACCTGGAGGGGTCGCGAGGGGTTGTCAGAGGGGTCACCAAAGACCACAAGAAAACACAGTACTTTCTGTTGGTCATGGGGGTTCTGTATGGGACGTTTGTCCCAATTCCTTCGTTTGTGGGGTTCAGAATGCTCTTTGGTTGTAGGTGAACTATAAATCCCAGTAATTACAATTCCCAGATGTCAAGATCTATTTTCCCCAAAGGTTCTTGTGGGTTTTTTCGGGCTATAGAGCCATGTTCTAGAGGCATTTCTCCTGACGTTTCGCCTGCATCTATGGCAAGCATCCTCAGAGGTTGAGGTCTGTTGGAAGTAGGAAAAATGGGTTTATATATCTGTGGAATGACTGAGGTGGGGCAAAGAGCTCTTCTCTGCTGGAGCTAGGAGTTGAGGTTTCAACTGACTACCTTCATTGGCATTAGCAAGGCCTGGCTGAGCCTGGGAAAAACTTTTGTTGAGAGGTATTAAGATGTGCCTGGTTGTTTCCTCTCTGCTGTTTTTCTGTTGTAATTTTAGAGTTTTTTAAATACTGGTAGCCAGATTTTGTTCATTTTCATGGTTTCCTCCTTTCTGTTGAAATTGTCCACATGCTTGTGGATTTCAATGGCTTCTCTGTGTAGTCTGACATGGTGGTTGTGAGAGTGGTCCAGCATTTCTGTGTTCTCAAATAATATGCTGTGTCCAGGTTGGTTCATCAGGTGCTCTGCTATGGCTGGCTTCTCTGGTTGAAGTAGTCTGCAGTGCCTTTCATGTTCCTTGATGCGCGTCTGGGCGCAGGCGAAACGTCAGAAGAAATGCCTCTAGAACATGGCTCTATAGCCCGAAAAAACCCACAACTACCCAGTGATTAAGCTCACAATACTATTTCCCCAAACTTCACCACTGTTCACATTTGGGCATATTGAGTATTTGTGCCAAGTTTGGTCCAGATCCACCATTGTTTGATCCCACAGTGCTCTCTGAATGTAGGTGAACTACAACTCCCAAAACTCAAGGTCAATGCCCAACAAACCCTTCCAGTATTTTCTGTTGGCCATGAGAGTTCTGTGTGCAGTTCCATTGTTGGTGGAGTTCAAAATGCTCTTTGATTGTAGGTGAAAAAATCCCAGCAACTGCAACTCCCAAATGACAAAATCAATCCCCCTCACAACCCCACCAGTATTCAAAATTGGGTCAGGGGAGTTCTGTGTGCCAAGTTTGGTTCAATTCCATCTTTGATGGAGTTCAGAATACTCTGTGATTGTAGGTGAACTATAAATCCCAGCAACTACAACTCCAAAATAACAAATTAAACCACCCACCCCCCCATCCCACCAGTATTCAAATGTGGACGTATCAGGTATTTGTTCCAAATTGGGTCCAGTGAATGAAAATGCATCCTGCATATCAGATATTTACATTGCGGTTCATAACAGGAGCAACATCACAGTTAGGAAGTAGCAACGAAAATAATGTTATGGTTGGGGGTCAACACAACATGAGGAAGTGTATTAAGGGGTTGCGGCACTAGGAAGGTTGAGAAACACTGCCTTAAAGGAATAGGAGTCCTGTTATTATTGTTATTATTATCTCCCCTCTTCTATACAAACCTGTAAGGAACGGGTGCCTGTTATTGTTGATATTGGATCTCCTCTTTTATACAAACCTTAAAAAACAGTAGTCCTGTTGTTATTTTTTATTATTAAATTCCCTCTTCCATACAGACCTGTTGTTGGTGGTGTTGATATTGGATCCCTTTTTCTATACAAACCTTAAAGGAGCAAAAGCACTGTTATTGGTCATATTGGATCCCTTCTTCTGTACAAACCTTTAAGGAACAGGAGTCCTGTTATTATTGTTATTATTATTATCTATATTAATAAAAATGTAATGTTCATTTGTGGGGTTAACAGAACTCAAAAACCACTGGATGAATTGACACGAAATTTGGACACAATACAGCTAACAGTCCAATGAGTGTCCATCACCCATAAACACACGCGCACACACAAAACCCCAGCGAACAGACTTAAAAACCCCAAAAATACACCATATATACATATACACATACACTCATATACATATGCACATGCACACATTCATACACACACATGTATATGTATATGCACAAATATACACATATACACACATGCACATATACATGCACACATATAAACACACACATATATATACACACACACACACACACATATATATATATATATACATATACATATACATATATATACATGCAAACACACATATATACAAACATATATACACACACATATACACATATACACAGAGCGGGCCACAGCAATGCATGGCAGGGGATGGCTAGTTATTATTAAATTCCCTCATTCATACAAACCTTAAAGGAATAGAAGCCCTTTCGTTGTGGTTATTGGATCCCCTCTTCTATAAGGAACATGGCCCTGTTGTTATTATTGTTATTATTAACTCCCCTTTTCTATACAAACCTTAAAGGAACAGGATCTCTGTTGTTATTATGGAATACTCTCTTCTATACAAACTTTAAAGGAACAGGAGTCTTATTGTTATTGTTATTACTAATTTTAAATTCCCATTTCTATGCAGACCTTAAAGGAACAGGGGCCCTGTTGTTGTTATTGGATCCCCTCTTCTACACAAGCCATAAAGGAACAGCAGCCCTCTTGTTGTTAACTGTTATTATTAAATTCTCTTTTCTATAGAACCTTAAAGGAACAGGTGCCCTGCTGTTGTTGTTATTGGATCCCCTCTTCTATACAAACCTTAAAGGAACGGGGCCCTATTGGTAGTGATATTTTTATTAAGTCCTCTCTTCTATATAAATCTGAAAGGAACAGCAGCCTGATTGTTGTTGATTATTTTGAGTCCCCTCTTCTATACAGACCTTAAAAGAATAGGAGCCCTGTTGTTATTATTATTAACTCCCCTCTTCCGTACAAACCTTAATGGAACAAGAGCCCTGTTGTTATTGTTTTTTTGTTCCACTCTTCTATGCAAACCTTGAAGGAACAGGAGCTCTGTTGTAGTTGTTACTGTTATTGATGCTTTTATTAAATTCGGTCTCCTATACAAACCTTAAAGGAACAAGACCTTGTTGCTAATTGTTATTAAATCCCCTCCTTTATACAAAAATTAAACAGGACCTTGTTGTTACTTTTTTTCATTTCAAAAGTGACTTGAGAAACTGCAAGTCGCTTCTGGTGTCAGAGAATTGGCCATCTGCAAGGACGTTGCCCAAGGCACGCCCGGATGTTTTGATGTTTTTTACCATCCTTGTGAGAGGCTTCTCTCATGTCCCTGCACTTCCTCAGATGACCTAAAAGATGTGTTAGCTTTTCCTTCTTTTTCTTTTTGTAAAAAAATATAGGGAAATGACCTCCATTGGCTAGCATGTGCCTTATATGTGGCTTGCCGAAAAGCTGTCCCAACAGTTAGCAGAGGAACTGTTGAAGGGAACTATGTATCTTTAATAAGGATACTGCGCTGCTCAGGACAAAGGTAATTTCTCTCTATAAGTACCAGAATTGAAAAATTTTTTGAAAAAGATTGCCTCCTTGATTGCAGTAATGTTGTGTTTTGATATAGATGTGTGAATGTGCATAGTAGCTGATGAAACCACTACATGAATTCTACATTCATTCTTTAACAACTGGCAATAAATTGCTAATCATAATATTTGAAATTGCTTTGGGTTTTTTTTTTAAATTGCAAGCTCTTTTTGCAATTTAAATCACATGTAACTTGGATATGTTTTTCTCTCCTGACAGATAGATTTAATCAGTTACTCTTTATGTGCAGTGTACCAAGCAATAATAAACACACCAACTTCCTTAATTGTGGGCAGTGATAGGATTTGTAACGAAAGGTGGCTTCCTTTTGTTAACCTTTCGATGAAACGCACCTCGGCAGGAATCATGTTGGTTAATCAGAACCAAAGTACACCAGTTGAATCAAATAGTGAGTTAATATAGAGACAAATTCCCTGTATCAACACTGTAGATTTAATGCAATTTGATACCACTTTAATATTATGAAATCCTGGGAATGAATCCATAGGTGAAATATAGACCGTACATGCCTTCTGAACCTTAACACTTACTGCCAATTCTAGGATTGGATTATGCTGTTTAAAAATATGAACGGTTTATTATTTGATAGATTTATTACAATTTCTTTATATTTAGATCCTAACTATAATTCCACAAACTTGCTAATACTGTATATATTTTTGTTGTGCAATCCAAACCAAAAGTCAACCAGCATAGTGGCAGTTTACTATTTTGTCTCAAGGCAGAAACAGTTTCCTCTTCTCTAAAGTAGCAAGAACACTGTAATATGTATTGATGCTTTTTAAAGTAAATTTGATTCCTAAGTCCACATGATATAATGTATCTATTGCCTTGTCAGTATAGCTATTGCATACAGAAAAACATCCTATAACATTATCTGATGGATAGGAAGCAAAAGTAACACACAGCAAGGGAAAGCAGTGTCAAATTACTAAACATGACAAAAGGTTTGGTGAATGAAGAATAGTCATAAGTGCATGAAGCTTGATATAGAAGGAGCATTACATTCTATAGGATTTCTTATTTAGCAAATCTTGACATTGGCCTAAATCTAATGGCTAGTCCCAAATAGAGTAAACCAATTGAATCAGGGTTTATATATGTCTCGGCATGCCATTCAGAAATTTATTTTGGTGAATCTGCTCTATTAGACGTAACAAGTAGTTAGATTTCTTATATGTTTCTTCAATAGGGTTTATATAAGTGTTGACTTGCCATTCAGACAATTATTTGGTGGATCTGCTCTTGCTAGACATCACAAGTAGTAAGATTCCTGATACATTTCTCGTTCTGGCATACATTACTAATCTGTTTAGGATATTGACATTTCCTATGGCGGCGCAACTTCTGACCCCTCTAAATGTCTTCAGTTTGATAGACTTTTTTAACAAGATGAAGAAGTGGGAAGATATGGCAAACCTACCCTCCCAGTTCAGAGAACGTACCACAAGATTAGAAAGGAACTTTACCGTTTCTGCTGTAATTTTTAAGAAGTATGAACCCATTTTTCAGGATATTTTCAAGCACCCTCAAGACGACCCTCCCCGCCAGCAGAGAGGAAGGAAACAAAGGTATGGATGCATTACATTAAGACTTTAAGGTATATTACTCCATAGTAAGAGGAGTTTTGTTGTATTTTTCCAACTATCTGTTTTCTATTGTAATCACGTAGAAGTTAATCACATGCTGGCTTCATTAAGATCTATTAAAAGAAAACACATTTTGAAGATTTTTGTCAGCAGTGATAGGTAATAACAGTGGTTTTGTTTTGTTTTGTTTTTTTGCTTTGCCCATTAATCCCTTGTTTATCCCTTCAACTTCCAAATATTTCTCTAAGCTTGTCAATTGGTTGTCTATCACACTGGTTAATAAAGATTTGTGAAATAAATCTATATAAATAAAAATGTAATGTTCATTTGTGGGATTAACATAACTCAAAAACCACTGGATGAATTGACACTAAATTTGGACACAATACACCTATCAGGCCAACGAGTGACCATCACTCATAAAAACACTGAAAAACACAGCGGAAGAGACTTTAAAAGCCAAAAAATAAAATATACATTACATTACAACATATGCACATAACCAATATAAATACACATATACACTATATATATATATATATATATACACACACACACACACACACACACACATACATACACACACACACATACACACACACGCACACAACACATATACACAGACTGGGCCACAGCAACGCGTTGCAGGCGATAGCTAGTTAAATTGATTAGGCTGATCGAGGAGAAGTATCTGTCAAATTCAAGAGTAATTAGGGATTAATTCATTAATCTAATATTGGGAGGATTTACTAATTGTGGGATTTATGACTTATTAATGTACAATTAAAGATAGAAATGTGATTATATAACATTCCGTAAAAGGACTAGACTACTCCGAACTAAAAAATCATCAGACAGTGAGATTAGATATATTAGAAGATTGGTTTTTACATTTGTATGTTAGCTTTGTATTATTTTGTACCTTTTGTGCATTGGTTTGACTTTTTAGTTTTGTCAGCTGCTGTAGATTAGTGTTTTATATCAAGGAAAAAAGCTTGTTTTGTATGTTTGATGTAATTAATTTATTTCCAGGTGTCTTTGTTTATATGACGGTATATTTGTTTCATTGAATACGAATTATTATTTTTTAAAATTAAATGTAACCAAAAAAAGGAAATCCATTGCTTGTTCTCAGTGTCCTTGTCCTGTTTCACAAAGGAGGAGCTGTAACAGATTCAAGGGGCAGCTCATTTTTATCCTGAGTTAGAGGTTTCCTAGGATAGAATGGAAAGAATAAGGAGAACAAGGTGTGTTGCCTCCATAACACAGTTCTCCATAACACAGTGTATCTAAATGAATTTCATATGGGAATTGGAATGTATTTTGATGTGTTTCTCCGTATTAATAAAAATATATTGCATTTATCTCTTTGTATGGCTTCAAAAAGGAGGCAGCCTTGCACAGTCTCCGAAGTTTTCCAGTTTTGCTGGGTGCTGTTTGTTTATGCAAAAGGTAAGAATTGCTGTTTAGTTTATTCATGTTTTGTAGTGTTCGTCTAAACAGCTTTCCAAACATTTCATGTTGCTGACAACTTTTCGAATATGCATCATTTTGCAACACAGTAATTCAGTTTTACTAGCAAACCAAAGGTTAAACCAACCCCTTATATGAGATATACACACAAGCATTAATTATCCTTGTTGCTTTTAATTGTTTTAAACTGCTCCAAGTGATTTTATTGAAATGCTTTCATTTATGGCAGAATATAAGTATTTCTAATGAATAGATACTCATTGTTGCATTCCAAGGCTGGGAACCACCTCTGTACTTAACAGTCCAAGATAAAATAGCAAAGCAGTTTATTGAAGAATATATATGGAAAACAATTCAGCAAAAAGTATAAAAAACCAAAGTCCAGATATGAAGAATAATCCACGGAAATAATAGTACAGTAGCATCCAAAACCAGGAATACAAAAGCAGAATAAATCCAAGACATGATATTCAGGAACAGTCCTTAACAGTTGGAATCATGAGACATGAACAAAAGGAAACATGGAACTAGAAATCCCTTGACTTAACAGTAGTTCTTTCTTCAAACACCAAAGTTGCCTGGACTTATGGACCCATCTGCTGAGTTAGCCAATATAGAGAGGAAATCATGCCTTCTCCTCTGGGAAACTGATAAGGACTTCTTGGTTGATAGGCGTTTTGACCTTCGTAAACTTTCTTGAGAAGCTTTATGTCGATGAAGCGTAAATCTCCTATCTATCTGCTCATTAGTCTGTCCATCTGAACTTTCATTTTCATCCTCTGAATTCCGATCTGTTTCTGACCTTGCTCCCCTAGTGAACTGCCTTTCAGGAATGTGGCCTTCAGATACAGACTGCTCATTTTCAGGTCTTAAAATCTCTTTCTGGCTCTCTTGCTGACTTGCAGATCCAGAATCCCCAGTATCATCAGAATGACTAACAGGCCCAGAATCCTGAGAGAGACCAGGTGCTGAAGTTCAAAGGCTTAACTGCAACACTCATGCACTGTATGTGTATGGTGTAAGTTAGATGAAAGCAAGTTTAGCTAGAATTATAAGTTTAAGAATATGATTATGCACTTCCTCCAAAAGATGGATTTCACCGCAAAGTTGATACCTCCCATTTGTTTGCAGTGTAGATTTATTAAGTACTAGCGGTCCCCTGCCATGCGTTGCTGTGGCCCAGTCTGGTGATCTGGAAAATAAAGTAATGAGAAAGTATTGGTTTCTAATATGTGTAATTTCTTTATGCTTGTGGGTAAACAGTATTTCTTGCTGTTTCTTTGTCAGCGTTGATGTGGAGATTGTCTGGCTTGCCTACTCTGGAACAGGCAACATATCATTGTCCTTCTTTAGGGGTCCCTTTCAAATCTATGACACTATGTGTGTGTGTGTGTGAATCATATATATCTATATCTATGGCTGGATAGCTCTTTGTCAGGAGGGTTTTGATTATATTTTCTTGCCCTGGTGAAGGGAGTTGGACTGGGTGGCCTTAAGTAGGGGGGTTCCGCGTGGGAAGTTCGCCCCAATTCTATTGTTGGTGGAGTTCAGAATGCTCTTTGATTGTAGGTGAACTATAAATCCCAGTAACTACAACTCCCAAATGCCAAGGTCTATTTCCCCCAAACTGCATCTGTGTTCATATTTGGGCATATGGAATATGCTTGCCAAGTTTGGTCCAGATCCATCATTGTTTGAGTCCACAGTGCTCTCTGTATGTAGGTGAACTACAACTCCCAAACTCAAGGTCAATGCCCACCAAACCCTTCTAGTATTTTCTGTTGGTCATGGGAGTCCTGTGTGCCACATTTGGTTCAATTCCATCATTGGTGGAGTTGAGAACGCTCTTTGATTATAAGCAAACTATAAATCCCAGTAACTACAACTCCCAAATGACAAAATCAGTTTTTGAGTGATGATCACTCCTTGGGTTACTAGGTGTCTTGTGGCCAAATTTGGCAGCAATTCGTCCAGTGGTTTTTGAGTTATGTTAACCTCACAAACGAACATTAAATTTTTATTTATATATATTTTACTTCGTTTAGAACCCATCTTCCTCTTAGCATAGGACCCAATAACTTAAAACAAAATACAGCTAAAACCCTATTAGTTAAAAGTAAAAAAAGAATAAAAAATGAGTAAGTTGTCACATTAAATCCTAATGCTATTTTAAAAGTTTCAAACCTTTAAAATGACAACAAAGGAGAAAAAATGCAGGCAACCAGTTAGCAGGGCAGAAGCCTGTCTTCAGTAACTTTCTATAAGTATTTGTTAGGTCATGTTAGAAAGCTGTTACTTTCTGTATTTGCCTCAGCGTGAAGTATTGGCAGCACTAGAGTGGTTTTGCATATTATCGTTGATGGCATTCATGATCCTCTGACTTCAAAAGGAGAGAGGTGGCTTGTGCCCTTGTCACATGCAGGGACTTCATTTCTTTTATTGAGAATGAGAGGAAGCGAGACTTTGTTTGCTCTGCTGCTTGGGTTTTACGCTGGATTTATCATGGCAACCACAATTCAGTGACAAGTCTGGGCTTGTCTATATGATACATCTCCCAGCTTAAGTAATAGCAACTTCTGTTTTGGAGATGTATTGCTTCCTCCTTGTGGTTCTGACGAATGAGGTTGCTTCGTAATGTCGATGGTAAGACAAGTGCAGCATAAATAGCACAAGGCTAGCAGTGTGAGTGCTGGTTAACTATTTGTCTTGTTTTTTTAAATGGTAAAGACTTGGTTGTTTGAGCAAGCGTTTGAAAATGCAAGGTAAAAGACATAGGAATTGGAATGACTAGACAACAAGATGGGACAATGTGTTTTATTAAGAGACGCAAATGATCTATGTTTTAATATTCTTGTTAGGGTTTTATATTATGTGTTAATGTTTTTAAATGTTTTATGGTGTTTTTGGGCATCGAATCATTGCCATTGTAAACCGCCCTGAGTCGCATGAGAGCTGAGAAGGGCGGTATACAAATACAGTCAATAATAAATAAATAAACATAGGCATATCTTTTTGTGGGTCTGGACTCTAGATTTGAGGAGCTCTGTATTTATAGCAGTTGCAGTAGCTTTCTTTTTACTATTTATGTGTCTGGAGAACAAATAATTAATTTGGAATGAAAGAATAGTCGGTCAGAAGTTGAAAATACTTGTGGCTCATTAATAAACTCTGTTTTAACCTATTACTAGTAATTCTATTGTATGCTTAGAGACAGCAAGAGTAATATCAACCAGGGCCGTAGCCAGAAAAATTTTTTGGGGAGGGTTGAAAATTTCAGGGGGGGGGTTAGGGTCACACTGAAGCAAAGAGCACAGCAAGGGGCAAAGCAGCCTTCAATAGCCTGCAGCTCCGCCCCTGTCAACCACCTCCACCAAGTCTGGCCTCCTTAATGAGAGCATTCAACCACCCCCCCCCCCAAAAAAAAACTTTGTTGCTTCGCTACATCGGCTATTGCTGCAAGTAATGACAGTGTGAACAAATTGTCAATATTTGCTTGAGATAGTGCTTGCAGTTCTGGAGGGACTCTTAATTTTTTGCGTCTCATAGACTTAGCATGGGGATTTGGTTAACTGGTTAAAATTCACGAGTAAACCAGGTTTTTTTTAACCTGAAAAATTTGGGGGGGGGGGGTTGAACCCCTAACCCCCCACCCCCGGGCTACAGGCCTGATATCAACACAAGAAGACTGAATAGTGAAATACATGCTTTGGAAGAAACTAATCAATTGATAGTGTTGATGAAGGATAAATCAATGTTAAACTTGATTGGGATATGGTTATTAATTTTTTGAGACAACACATGGAGGTACTAACTTTTGAGAGATAGTAGGGATATGTTTGATCCTAAAGGATGGCTAAACCTCTTACTTTGAGGAAGTTCATTAAATAGTTAATTATAACCACAAGTTGTGAAGATATATAAGTCTCCACGTTCCCCCTGTTTCTTTAGTTGTATTATAGTTTAGTTCGGTGTTTTTATTGTACGTTGTATTGGTTGTGTATTGTTTGTTTTCCTTAAGTGTTTCCTTATATGTATCCAAAACCTTATTTTGTGTTAATACAAAATTACTTACAATGTTTATTTCTTTAAAAGTATCGCTGTCATGATCCTCACAGCGATGTAAACTGTTATTTATTTATTGCATCATAAGCAAATTCAGAGTACAGTTGTAATGTATTTCAAAACACAAAGTTTAAAACTTGGCAGTATTCTAAATGTCTTTTGACCAGTATCTGCCCACTTGGAGTGTCTCTGGTGTTGCTGTGAGAAGGTCCTCCATTGTGCATGTGGCAGGGCTCAGACTGCATTTTAATAGGTGGTCCGTGCTTTGCTCTTCTCCACACTTTCATGTCGTGGACTCCAGCCTGTTCAGAACCTTCCAAATATGGGGGAGTTTCTCATTTGGTATCAGCCATGGATTGAGGTTCCAGGTTCTAGCCTGCCACTTTTGGACTCTTGCTTGCTGAGGTGCTACTGCGAGTACCTCTGTACATCTTAGGAAATTTCTTGATTTAAGGCGTTGGCGTGCTGACTGATATCCAAACAGAGGATGGACCAGAGATGTCCATGCCTTGGTGCTTTCATTATTGGCTGCTACTTCCCAGCGGATGTCAGGTGGTGCAGTACTGGCTAAACAGTACAATTTCTCCAGTGGTGTGGGGTGTAGGCTTCCTGTGATAATGCAGCATGTCTCATAAAAAGCCACATCCACTGTTTCAACATGGTGAGATGTGTTCCACATTGGGCATGCGTATTCAGCAGTAGAGTAGATAGGCACAAGGGCAGATGTCATCACTGTGTCTGGTGTGATCCCCAGGTTGTGCCAGTCAGCTTTCATATGATATTATTTCTAGTGCCCACTTTTTGCTTGATATTCAGGCAGTTCTTCTTGTAAGTCAGAGCACAGTCCAGAGTGGCACCCAGGCTTGCAGCGATGTAAAATAAAATCATAGGAGTGGGCAGATCAAAAGACAACCTGGCAAAATGGCACAACCTAAAAGAATCCCACACCTAGTGTGACTATGGAGCAGAACAGACAACTCTGCACCTGTATGCTTGTCCACTATGCCCTGCCTCGTGTACAGAGGAAGAATTGTTGGAGGCTACAGACAATGCCATTGCTGTTGCCCGTTTTTGGTCAAAAGATATTTAGCTGCCTGCACTCCTTCTATTTTTATCAGCTTTTTACTAATTTATGCCATGTTTTTGATATGAAATAAATAAATAAATATATATATTATATATATAGGATTCAAATGCAACAAGAAAAAATGTCTTTAAAAAGCTAATGCAAAAGATAAGGGCTGGCATTATTGTTGTTGTTGTTGTTATTTATTGCTTCCCTCTCCTTGCAACTCAAGCTGCAGCAAAACTTAGTTAAAGAACATAATATTAAAATATATTCCATAGAAGCACATGTCAAAACATTTCTACACATTTTAAACTACATGGAGCCAAACTTAAAACACAATAATACAGATACGGCGTTTGCAAACTCAGTAAGGGCAGAGCCAGCATGACTTTTCCTTCCATAACCACGATGCTACCATAGAGGAAAAAAGGCTCTTTATGTTATCATGTCCAATTTACGTGTTATATAACTTTTTTGGCAGTTGGAGTCCAAAGATCATCACGTGTTAAATCTATACACATTTCTCCAAAGCAGCTTTCAGTGTTGCAAACTTACACAAATGAAATAACAGTCTATGGGACATGTTTCTTGAGAATTGCATTCATCTTTTGACTCTAGTGTTTCTTTCAGTTTTTTAAATGTAATCCAAACCCTGATTATAATCTCACAGGTAATTTCCCCATGATCAGCGATGACTTGGTCAATTCCTACCATCTCTTGCTGTGTGTCCTGGATTTAGTCTATGGAAATTCCCTGCAGTGCCCAAATCATAAGGACCTTCTGAATCCTACTTTCAAAGGTATGTTGAAAATAGTAATAATAATATTTATTTATTTATTTATTTGACCAATCATATCACCATTTCAAAATAGAACACGAGTAAAAAAACAAGGCAAAAAGGTGATTGCTTGTATTTCTCTTTTAAATTGAGAAATACATAGATTTTACCTTTTACCTGTTAAATTTAGACTTCTCTCCTTCTTTCAACTTGCTAGGGCTGCCCGAGGATTTTCAGAGCAAGGATTTTAAGCTGTTGTCTGAACCACCCTGCATCATAGAAAAGCTTTGCTCCTTACATGATGGTTTGCTCTTGGAGGCAAAGGGGATCAAAGAGCATTTCTGGAAGCCTTATGTCAAAAGACTTTTTGAGAAAAAGGTATGAAAACTAATGTTTAAAGACACAATTCACAAATAATCTGAGAGTGTTCCATTACACTTAATGTTAATTCTTCTTCCTTCTAGATTCTAAAAGGAAAAGAAGAAAACCTGTCTGGTTTTCTGGATCCTGGAAATTTTGGAGAAAGTTTGTAAGTATTGCAGAACAGTAGCAAATATATTATATTAAAATGTAATGGTTTTAGACACACACACCCAGAGCTCTTTCTCTCTCTATTTTGATGATGTTTTTAACTCTGTGAACTGTCTTTTATATGTATTTTATAACTTATTTATTATGTATGTATTTTTAAAATGATTTATTGTGTAGCATTGATTTTTTGCTGTTGTTAGCCATTCTGAGTCCCTCCACGGAGGTAGAGAAGAATGGGATATAAAAGTTATTATTATTATTATTATTATTAATAATAATAATAATAATAATAATAATAATAATAATTTATTATGAGGTTTGCTTCACTTAGTGCTGGCATTCATTTCTTCTGATACAAGGCTTTTGAAAACCATTGGATTCTTCAAACTGTTACATATGTAGTACCGTGTTGGTAGTTCCATCTATGGCCTGTATGCACAATGAATCCACGTTTAATTTTTAACATTTGAGAAAAGAAAACTAGCACCAATATTACTTGAGATCCTCAATTTCAATTTTTTTATCTTGTTAAATTGGTACAATTCATGGCATCTTACAGGAATGTCATAACTGAGCAAAAGGCTAATAAAGGTAAAAATTTCCTCTTGACATTAAGTCTAGTCGAGTCTGGCTCTGGGGGGGTGGTACTCATCTCCATTTCTAAGCTGAAGAGCCGGCGTTGTCCGTAGACACTGCCAGTGTCATGTGGCCAGCATGACTGCATGGAGCGCTGTTACCTTCCTGCAGAAGCGGTGCCTATTGATCTACTCCCCCTCAATGTTTTTGTCCCTATAGTACACTCCCCCTGCCTGTATGAAGGCCTGTTTTTACGACCCCATTTTTATGAGCTTCTCCCACAAATAATCTGCTCCATTCCTATCTCACCCTGATTTTTAGTATATTATCTTGTATATGTGGCCCACTTATTGTCACTGAATGATTTTCATTGTATTTTTATATTGCTTATTGTATTTTACTGTGCTGTTGTTCGTGCTTTGGTTTTTTATTTTATTGTAAGTTGCCCCGAGTCCCCTTTGGGGGATGGTGGCGAGGTATAAATAAAGTTTATTATTATTACCCGCTGTACCCGCCATGCGTTGCTGTGGCCAACCTTCCCTCTTTCTCTCCTTCTTTCACTCCTTCCTTCATTCCCTCTTTCCTTCTCTTCTTCCTTCCTTCTCTATCTCTTTCCCTTCCTTTCCCCTTTTCTTTCTCTTCTTCCTCTCTTTTCTTCCTTCTCTCTTCCTCTTTCCTTCCCTCTTCTCTACATCTTCCCCCCCTCCTTTCCTCTTCCTTCTTCTTCTCCTTTTTCCTTTCTTCTCCCTTCCTTCCTTTTCTCTTCCCTTCCTTCCCCCTTTTATTTCCCTCCCTTCCTCCCCTTTCTTCCTTCTTCCTCCTTCCTTCGCTCTTTGCTTCCATCCTTCCTTCCTTCTCTACCTCTTTCCTTCCTTTCTTCTTTTCCCTCTTCTTTCTTTCCCTTCTTCTTCCCTCCTCTTTCCTCTTCCTTCCTTCCTTCTTCTTCCTTCCCTTCTTTCTTTCTTTCTTTCTTTCTTTCTTTTCTCCCCTTCCCTCCCTCTTTCTTCCCTTTTTTTCTGTATTGTCATTTAACTTTTCATCATTTAGATTTTTGGGGCTTTTTAAGTCCCTTCCGTTGTGTTTTTCAGTGTTTTTATGAGTGAAGGACATACATTGGGTTGTTAGGTGTCTTGTGTCCAAATTTGGTGTCAATTCGTCCAGTGGTTTTTGAGTTCTGTTAATCCCACAAACCGAACATTACATTTTTATTTATATAGATTATTATTATTATTATTATTATTACTACTCACATTTGCATGTTTCCGAACTGCTGGGTTGTCAGAAGCTGGCCCTAACAGCGGGAGCCCATCCTGCTCCCAGATTTGAATCGCTAACATTTTGGTCAGCAAGTTTAGCAGCTCAGCAGTTTAACCCGCTGTGCCACCAGGAGACCCATACTTCACGGCATCTTCCAGGAATGTCATAACTGAGCAAAAGGCAGCAGCTGGGTATATAGACAAAATATAATGCTGGTCTTAAAGGAATTCCATTGGCTGCCGGTATACTTCCACTTTGAATGCAGAGTGTTTGTGATGGCATTTGAAGCACTAAACAGCTTGGAAGTGATACAGAAGGAGTACCTGTTGTTATTTAAAAGAACAGAGAGGCTTCATAGAATCACAGAGTTGGAAGAGATCTCATGGGCCATCCAGTCCAACCCCCTACCAAGAAGCAGGAAAATTGCATTCAAAGCACCCCCGACAGATGGCCATCCAGCCTCTGTTTAAAAGCTTCCAAAGAAGGAGCCTCCACCACACTCCGGGGCAGAGAGTTCCACTGCTGAACGGCTCTCACAGTCAGGAAGTTCTTCCTCATCTTCAGATGGAATCTCCTTTCTTGTAGTTTGAAGCCATTGTTCCGCGTCCTAGTCTCCAGGGCAGCAAAAAACAAGCTTGCTCCCTCTTCTCTCACATATTTATACATGGCTATCATATCTCCTCTCAGCCTTCTCTTCTTCAGGCTAAACATGCCCAGTTCCTTAAGCCGCTCCTCATAGGGCTTGTTCTCCAGACCCTTGATCATTTGAGTCACCCTCCTCTGGACACATTCCAGCTTATCAATATCTCTCTTTAACTATGGTACCCAGAATTCGACACAATATTCCAGGTGTGGTCTAACCAAGGCAGAATAGAGCATGGGTAGCATGACTTCCTTGGTGCTTACCCACTGAAAACCATCTATTGTGTGAAGGTGTGGGGAATGAGTCTTCTATTCTGCTTTGAAGCCCAATTCCAGATCCAAGTTTAACTATTTTTTTAAATTAATGTTAAACACTAATCTTATTCAAGAATGTTCAAGATGTGTCTCTTCTGTTCCCCCCCACCCCAACAACCCCCCCCCCCATCCACTCACCCTGAAGAAAGAACATCAATAAGGCCTACGAGGAGTACATTCTGTCTGTTGGAAACCTAGACGAGCGGATATTTCTTGGGGAGGATGCAGATGAGGAAATAGGAACCCTGCGGAGGTGTTTGAACACAACCTCCGGAGTGGAAACAGCCGAAAGGGTTCAGGTGAAACACAACCTGCAGGAGCATTTTGAACGAGTGAGTACAATGCATGATTCGTTGCGTGGTCTAGCACTTGAATTATTCTGTCTCCTTTGTAGCAGTAGTTTGAGTGCCAGAAATCAGAGTTTGTCAGAATTTTATCATTCCAGTTTACTTAGGTCAGGCATGGGCAAACTTGGGTCCTCCAGGTGTTTTGGATTCCAACACCCACAATTCCTAACAGCTGGTAAGAATTGTGGGAGCTGAAGTCCAAAACACCTGGAGGGCCCAAGTTTGCCCATACCTGTCTTAGGTAATTGCAGATTAATCCTTACCTTCATAATATCAGTGGAGAGTGATTTCTATTTTTAATCTGGCAACTGAAGATGGGAGAGTATTTTCTTTAGTTTTAATGTTTACACCTTATTTTATTTTTCTGGTTATTTAATGTTTAATGTTGATTTTACTTAAGTGATATTTGTCTTTACTGTTCTAATGTAGCACAAATCCTATGTAAAATCATACTACATATTTTTGACATTAATATTGGAATCTGAAATATATACAGAAAGTCTTTACTGTGTTAATACATTGGTTTGAAGCCTCAGTGACAAAGCTCAGTGTACTGATCATCTCTTAATATCTTTTCCCTTCAAGTAATCAACTGTTATTCTCAAGTGACCAATCTGCAGACAAGAAATGTTAATGCTAAATAATTGTTATGTTACAGTAACAAATAATATTATTTCCAGTTTTTGGAATCTTTTTCACATTGCTTTTCGGTTAGGCAAAATCTTTCAGAATATCTACGCCTCTTACTGGACGGAAGTACATAAAAGAGAGGGAAGCTTGTGTGAGCCCCATTTCTATAGCCACCTACAACTTGACCCGGCTTCATACGATGCTGACTGGTTTGAAGAATGCGCCCAGTGAAACCCTGGAGCAAATTTTCAGGTCAGTTAGGGAATCATTCATTCCTTTGCAGCTTGTAATAGAAAATACTATGAATTTGGGATACATATGGGTTGCACGGTGAAATATAAGCTCTGTTTGCAAGGGGATACTTTATGAGAAATACTTCTAGGATTAAAAATGCACATGGAATAGTTTTTGCATTTAATACATTGTGTGATTTGGTCAAATAATTTTACATGGAAACAGTGAAATTATAATATGAGGTCAGCTTGTGAAACCTGACATGAAGGTTTCATTCTCCCTTCTCAGTATTTCGAGAAAAGAGGCTTAGGTTAAAAATCAGTGTGGCAGGCCCGTAGCCAGGATTTCGTTTTGGGGGGGGGGGGGGATTTTTTTTCAGGGGGAGGGTTCGGGGGGGGTGGCGGGGGGGGGCTGAGTCTGAGTGAAAGAGGGTCTAGCCTAGCAAACCTTTGTTCATTACCCCAATACCCCCATGCATATGGGATATATTGAGTATGGTGATCAGATCATGATATGAATAAACATAACAGTTTAAATAATGCTCCAGTAAGGCCTTTTCGCGAACCACCATGAGAATTTCGGGGGGGGGGGCTGAAGCCCCTCAAGCCCCCCCCCCCCCCCCCGGCTACATGCCTGCAGTGTGGTATTTTTCTTTCATTTGCATATGTTTATTGTTTTATTATTCATCTATTCCTTGTCAGATCATGCTCCAAGGACCCTACTCTGTCCATTTCCAAGAGAGTGAAAGAAATGTATGAAATTTATTGTCAGAAGACCCAGTCCCAAGGAGATCCTGATAGTTTTTCCAAAGGTAAAACTAGATTTTGTCCAATCCTTAGGTTGGGAACTAGGCTCGAATAATTAGGGTGTTGGATACTGAGTGCTGTGACAGAAATTGATAACTCTATAAATACGCAATGCAATTTAAATTGTCATTGTATGTTCAAGCAGCAGTTTCAGAGGGCTTATCAGTAATAGCTGAAATCAGAGAAAGCAAACTTTGTGAGTTTAGTATAACCTGCCCTCCTCAATTTTTCTCTCATTTTAATTGCTGTGAGTGAAATTGATACTTCTATCCTTAATGTGGACAATTAATGTTTACTTTGTTGTATTATAATAATTGCAGATATTGTTGGGAAACACTTTCATCTTGCTGAAGTACTTTACTACAAAGTATTGGAATCTGTCATTGAGCAAGAAAAGAAGAGACTAGGGGATGTTGACTTGTCTGTAAGTAAATTCATCATAAGTATTCCAAATAGTTGTTGTTAATAATAATAATAATAATATTTCCTACCCGCCTCTTCTTGTGGCTCGAGGTGGGTTACAGAATAATTAAAGCACATTAACATTGTTAAAATACCACAAATACACATATTGAAATGTATTTCTATAAAATACAAGAAGGGAGATTCCATCTGAACATTAGGAAGAACTTCCTGACTGTGAGAGCCATTCAGCAGTGGAACTTCTGCCCCAGAGTGTGGTAGAGGCTCCTTCTTTGGAAGCTTTTAAACAGAGACTGGATGGCCATCTGTCAGGGGTGATTTGAATGTAATTTTCCTGCTTCTTGGCAGAATGGGGTTGGACTGAATCGCCAACCAGATCTCTTCCAACTCTATGATTCTATGCATACTAATATATGCATAATGTGGATTCAACAAAGGACACATGTTTAAAATTATTCCACTTTAACTGTCCTGGTTTGATGCCGTGAAGTTGTGGGGGATGTAGTTTTGCAAGGCCTTCTCTGCCAAGGAGTGCTGGTGCCTCGCTGGGCTGCAAGTGAATTGAGCCAATGCCATTACATTAGAGGTGAGAAGCTCTGGGTGCAGCTTCCCCTTTTGCTTCAATTCAGCGCTAAATGAATAATTATGCAAATCTAACATGGAAATTATGGGTGAAGTTTATAGAATTTGTATAAGTACAGGATACATTGGATGGGGAAAGTTTTGATCTCATATATGATCTCATTTGATTTGTTTTTGGGCATTGTTGCATTTGGTGGTCCCTATGTAGACATGTCCACAGCTGCATGGTTTATGGTAGACTCCTGCAGAAGTGAGAGGATCCCTCTTGTGCTTTGCTGAATGTAGCATTTGTTGGATTTTCTTAGTGGGTCTATAGTTTGTAGGTTGTGTTTCTTCATCAGCTTCCCTATTCGATCAGTTGTTCCATCGATGTATGGTAAAAACACTTTTCCTCCGGGTGGATCTTTGTCTTTACTCTTGTGGCTTGTTCTTGGCCTTGCAGCTCATTTAGCTGCCAGAGCTCTTCTGGCAGGTCATTCCACAGTTGTGGGCCGGCCAATGAAAAGGACCTCTGGGTGATGGTCGCTAGTCAGGTTCTGGCAGGCTGGAGTAACCACCTCTCAGAGGACCTAAGTCTTTGAGGTGGATTGTGCTTTTAAAATTAAGGGCAACACAGAATAATCTTGAGTGTGGGATGCTAATTTTCTGTTCCTAGTTTCAGACTGCTTGGATAATTTAGGCCAGAGGTTTAACACAGCTGGTAAATCATCAGCAAATATAAGATCTATCAATCAAAAGGTTGCAAGTTTGAAACCCCGGGTTGGCATGAGCTGCCAACTGTCAGCCTAGCTCATTGTTTACCTAAGCAATTCGAAATCAGCTATAGCTGTGATTAGAGAAATTAAGTACCGCTAAAAGTGAGGGAGGTGTTCTATGACGCCATAAAGAAAGAAGATCAGAAAATGCTGGGCAACCAAAAGGAAGGAGGAAGTCGTGATGGCTCTTCGTCATAGAGGATGGAGCAACAGCATCCCCTGGACTCAAGCCCAACCTTCTATGGCACCTCCTGTTCCGTTCTGTCTGTCTGTGTATTGTCTATACAAAGCGGCATTTAATGTTTGCTGTGTATATGTGCTGTGATCCGCCATGAGTCCCCTTCGGGGTTGTTGTTGTTGTTGTTGTTGTTAGTAATCTATCAAGAAGATTATTTCAGATGAACTATGCTGGTGATCACTATCCTTTTCTATCTTAGGCGATCCTGGAACATGACGTGTTTCACCGGTCTCTCATGGCCTGTTGCCTTGAGATCATCATTTACTCTTATAAGGCGGCTGATAGTTTCCCCTTCATCACTGACATATTTGATGTCCCTGCCTTTCACTTTTATAAGGTCAGTTCTTTTTTGCAGCCTTCTTTGACATGATGCCGCAAGATTGTGAATGTATAATATTGTTGTTTAAAGCTGCTTATTTTATGATATTTTATACATATTATCAATGTATATGGATTGTTGTTTACATGATTTTAATATGTTGTAAGCCACTTTGGGTCTCATGAGGGAGAAAAGCAGGACATAAATAAAGAATTATTATTATTATTATTATTATTATTATTATTATTATTATTATTATTATTAACACAATAAGATGAGTCCACAGCAGACAAGATTACTCTGCTGGCTGTTTCTGTTATTATTATTTTACTGACACAAAAGCACAGTATGTCACAGCAAACGAGATCTATATGCTGGATTTCGTATCACAAAATCACAAGTAAAACACTTACCAAGCGTCTAGGACTGTGTGATGTATTTTCGAATGATGCGCGCAGATCCAAGTAAGGTGGCCTTTTGCAGCTGACAAATCGTGATGTTATTATTATTATTATTATTGTGTTGATATTGAGTATATTTATTAACATATCCATTAAAGCCATGTGTGCTCAAAATTAAAACTTGCAGTGTTTATTGCAGGTGATAGAAATTCTTATCAGAGCTGAAGATGGCCTTTGCCGAGAAGTAGTGAAACACCTCAATCACATCGAGGAGCAAATTCTAGAGAGTTTGGCATGGAAAGAGGAGTCTCCGCTGTGGGACAAAATCAGAGAAAATGATAATAAAGTTCCCACCTGCGAGGAGGTAAACTTATCTAGTTGCTTTTTCAGTCATTAGTAATTTATTCTGGACTAGCAGTTCCCTGCCATGCATTGCTGTGGCCCAGTCTGTGTATATGTGTTTTGTGTGTGTTTATATGTGTATATATGTGGTTTTGCACATGCGTTGTAATGTATTTTTATTTTTTGGCTTTTTAAATCTCTTCCGTAGTGTTTTTCAGTGTTTTTATGAGTGACTAGCCATCCCCTGCCACACGTTGCTGTGGCCCAGTCTGTGTATATGTGCTTTGTGTGTATATATTTGTCTATATGTGTATATATGTGTGTTTGCATATATGTGTGTGTGGTTTTGTGCATGTGTTATAATGTATGTTTTTACTTTTTGGCTTTATAAGTCTCTTCTGCTGTGTTTTTCAGTGTTTTTATGGGTGATGGCCATTTGTTGGTCTGATAGGTGTCTTGTGTCCAAATTTGGTGTCAATTCGTCTAGTGGTTTTTGAGTTACGTTAATCCTACAAACGAACATTACATTTTTATTTATAGAGATAGTTTTAAGGGGTTTTCAAGTAAAACAAAGAGCTTCTCTGCTTTATATTGGATTTTTTTCATGTGTTTGTATTCATTTGAGACATTGAATGTTTACCTTTCTATTTTGTGCCTGTAAACTGCCCTGAGTCCCTTCAGGGAGAGAAGGTGGTCTAGAAATAAAGTTGTTTATTATTATTATTATTATTATTATTACTACTACTACTACTACTACTACTACTACATACATTAGGCTGAGTCCCAACCTTGCTAACATATCTTACATGTAAATGTGTGAAATTATGGAACCTGTGGCCCTGTGTTTATGATGCTTCAATGATATCAAGATATCAATAGGATATTCCTGTTGATATTTAATGGCATCAATAGGAGCCCCTGGTGGCACCGTAGGTTAAACCCTTGTACTGGCAGGACTGAAAACCGACAGATTAGAGGTTCAAATCCGGGGAGAACACGGATGAGCTCCCTCTGTCAGCTCCAGCTTCCCATGCTGGGGCCTGAAAAAAGCCTCCCATAAGGATGGTAAAAACATCAAAATATCCGGGCGTCCCCTGGGCAACATCCTTGCAGACGGCCCATTCTCTCACACCAGAAGCGACTTGCAGTTTCTCAAGTCGCTCCTGACACGAAAAAAAATGATATGAAGAAGCAATATAAAAGGGACCTTAAAGTAGTCAGCACCTAAAATACCTCCTTCCATGGCGAGCTACTATTGCATTAAAAGGCTTGAGGTTAAACAAGATTAGATCATGATTTGCGTGTAGATAGGTCTTATTATCTTTTAACCATAGTTAGTACAAGATTAAATCCATAGTTTGAGGATCACATTTAATCAGCAGCTGTTCCAATTGGGTGATAACCACAATAAGTGGGGCATTATGATGAATCTAAAGAGCATTGGGTCAGAAAGAATGAACAAGCTCAAAGCAGGCCCATTTTAATATCTGATCTAGAGAATAACTAAGCATTGCTGTCATTAAAAAAATACAAATTTTGTCATGTTTCTAGGTAATGCCGTGTCAGTATTTTGAGAGGTCCAATGGAAACAGCATGGCAGGCTCCCCGTTAACCCCACGGAGGCTGAATGAAGTTCGGGCTGAATCTGGCGCATTAGGAAAGGGTAAGAATGAACAGATCTAGAGAGGATGTGAAGGGTTGTTTGTTTGGAGGACATGTTGAACTGAATATTTAATTCCATAATGGAGAAGCCTAGAAAAAGCTTGAAAATATAATAATAGCTCCTTAAATTCTTGGGGTTTTTTTAAGTCCTCCAGCTTCGAATTGTCTACACGTTACTACGAGCCACCACTTATTTTTCTCAATTGAAATTCTGAATGTGGAGACAATTTTAAAAAGGAGCAAATGTTGTGTAAGAAGTTCCTATTGATTTTGTGTGTCACATGTTGTGTATTTTTTAGTAGTATGTAACTTTACAACAGAACACAAAGGGTGCCTTGACTCAATGTTTTCATATGGTTTATTATTATTATTAGTACTACTACTAGTAGTAGTATCCTGATTTAACTCTCTAAAAAGACACAAACTGGCCTACAATTAAACCAATACAATATACTGTATATACTCGAGTATAAGCCAAGTTTTTTAGCCCTTTTGTAGGCTAAAAAAGCCCCCCTCGGCTTATATTCAAGTCACTTATTTATTATTTTATTCTGTTGTTGTTGTTGGTATTATTATTATTATTATTATTATTATTATTATTATTACAATTATTATTTTATTACATTTATTATTTTACTCTATTATTACATTTATATTATTTAACTATTATTATTTTATTGCATTTATTATTTTACTCTACTATTATTGTTATTATTACAATTATTGTTTTACTCTAGTATTATTATAACATTATTTTACTCTATTGTTATTTTTATTACATTTATAATTTTACTTCCTTTATTATTATTGGAAGGATACGTAAGCACATTTACATTGAAGAAGGTCAGAATAATAGTTTAATCAGAGTTTGACAGTCTTATCTTAAATTACAGTTTGATGTAAATATTCAAAAACATTTAACCTACTGATGCCTCAATTAATGTAGTGTTATTGGTATCTATTTTTATTTTGAATTTTGCCAGTAGCAGTTGCATTTCCCACCCTTTGCTTATACTCGAGTCAATAGGTTTTCCCAGTTTTTTGTGGTAAAATTAGGTGCCTCGTCTTTTATTTGGGTCAGTTTATACTCGAGTATATGTGGTGATTTAAAACCTAAACATATACAAACATTAAAACAGAATTAAGCATTAACAGGATCAAAAAATAAACAGTTAAAACCCTTCACTACCACTTTGTGGTAGCAAATGGTATTTACCATACTAAAAAAAATAACGGGATGGATTCTCTGGCATGAATAACAGCTGTTACCACAGGAAAGGATATCTGGGGTTTTTTTTAATTACCACTTTTTTTTTCAATTATAAGATGCCATCAATTGCAGTACCAACAACAAGAATACATAAGATACACCTGCAATTCTGAAATGTTTATGCAGGGGTCCTGGGGGCAGGTGGTGAAGAGGTTCATTTGAAGAAATACAGTACATTGCATCTTCTCTGTACCTAATCTGATTCTTTGGACTCCTGGGTGGGATTAGTCTTTAATATGAAACATACAAGTCCTTACTTATTTACTTAGGCGATCCCATTTAGTCCAAGGTTGATGGCCCTCCAAATATAGTGTCTTGGTGGTGGATGCATGGCGACCTATTCTTGACCCACATGCTCTTCCACAGTGATGACATCAGGTGGAAGGTGGATCTGGTCAGCGTTGGCTTGGCACGTTTCTCCCTTTTGCCCTCCATTCGTGCTTCTTTGAATTCTGCAACAATGCTGGTCACAGCTAACCTCTAGTTAGAGCGATCGAGGGCTGGGGCTTCCCATTTCTCTGCGTCTATGCCACAGTTTTTAAGGTTGGCTTTAAGCCCATCTTTAAATCTCTTTTCCTGCCCACCAACATTCCATTTTCCATTCTAGAGTTAGGAGTATAGTACTGCTTTGGGAGACAATGAGTGGGCATCTGGACAATGTGGCCAGTCCAGTGGAGTTGATGGCGTAGGAGCATTACTTCAATGCTGGTGGTCTTTGTTTCATCCAGCATTTGACATTTGTCCACCTGTCTTCCCAAGAGACTTGCAGGATTTTTCAGAGGCAAAGCTGATGGAATCGTTCCAGGAGTTGCGTGTGATGTCTATAGACAGTCCACGTTTCGCAGGCGTATAGCAGGGTTGGGAGGACAATATAAATAAATATGAAGTGTTTGTTTGTGGGATTAACATAACTCAAAAACCACTGGACGAATTGACACCAAATTTGGACACAATATACGTATCAGGCAACAAGTGACCATCACTCTTAAAAACACTGAAAAACACAGTGGAAGAGACTTAAAAATAAAAAAATATTGCAACGCATGGGCAAAACCACATACACACACACACAAATAATAATAATAATAATAATAATAATAATAATAATAATAATAGTCTTTATTTATACCCTGCCACCATCTCCCCAATGGGGACTCGGGGCGGCTAACATGAGGCCAAGCCCTTTTAAAATACAATACAGCACAGTAAAATACAGAATACAAAACAGAATGCATTAGAAAATAAATTACAATAACAAAGTTACATGATAAAGCAAATTCACACAGTTTAAAATCAAACTGGATGGGCAGGCCAAATGAACAGAAATAAAATGATAAAACCTTGGGTGAGGCAGGAATAAGAAGAATGTACGTAGAAGAATATATATACACACACACGCAAACACAAATATAAACACATATACCCAAATATATACACACACAAAACACATACACACAAACTGGGCCACAGCAACACGTGGCGGGATGGCTAGTAGCTTTATAAACAAGCTCCTCTTTCATTGCAGGCGTCCCATCTTCTCCAACCACCCTCTATGAGAGATACGGCTCTCCAACAAGTAACCCGACCAGGAGAAGGCTCTTTGTAGACAACGACACTCCCACGGAGGGCAGTCGGACTCCCATCAGGGTCTCCCAGCAGCCGGTGATCAGCGCGATGCCAGTCCAGACGGTCTCCCCAGAGTCCATACCTGTCACTCCTGTGCCTGGGCAAACCTTGGTGACAGTCGCCACGGCAACCGTCACTGCAAATAACGGGCAGACGGTTACGATACCAGTGCAGGGTAAGGGAGATGGGTATCACAGTCCAACAAAAAATCATGTTGTCTTGCTTTTTTAGAGTTATTTGAGCCACTGATTCAGAACATTGCATTGGATAGACCACATTAGCTCTAGTTTCTTAGATATGGTTATCATGGTTTCTTATGAGCCGATGGCATCTGTGTCTCCAAAACTACAGCTGATAGGTGGAAATTGGTGCCATTTTTGGAATCAAATATGACCAGAAGCAGGACTAACATTTCAGGCACCAAAATGTGTGTCGGCCAGTGTTTGGTGCTGACGATACATTTTTCACGTGCGATGACAACAACTGTAATTCCAGTTGAGAAATGTAAGAATGTGGACCCAAAAAGGGTGGGAAATGGCAAGTGAAAAGTGAATCTTGGAGCAAAAAGGTGTTGATATAACACCTGTATGATTCTTTGCACTATGATGTAAAACACATTCCAGATAGATTGATTCATTTAAGGAAACCAGAGCTCTCTTCTCTTACAAGATCTGTTGATAACTGAGGCTCTTTGAGTTCTCACCATAGATCAAAGCCACTTCAATGGCAAACAACAGCAGCAACATCAACATGCAGCAGTTGTCCCTAGGAACAAGGGGAGCTCATTCATTCAAGACAAAATATATTTTGATAGTTGGGTTGCTCTGAGTTTTCCAGGCTTGTATGGCCATGTTCCAGAAGCATTCTCTCCTGACATTTTGCCCACATCTATGGCAGGCATCCTTAGAGGTTGTGAGGTTTGTTGGAAACAAGTCAAGTGGGGTTTATATATCTGTGGAATGTCCCGCGTGGGAGAAAGACCTCCTGTCTGCTTGAGGCAAGTGTGAATGCTACAAGTAGCATTTATTTATTATTTATTTACTTTATTTATATACCGCTTTTCTCAGCCCTCAGGCGACTCAAAGCGGTTAACAACATCAATACAAAACATCGTAAGACAAGTATAGGGCAGTTAAAAACAACTGTAACATAAACAGTTAAATAGCTTTGTAGCTTCAAGGCTTGGCTGCTTCCTGTCTAGGGGAATCCTTTGTTGGGAGGTGATTAGCTGGCCCTAATAGTTCCTTGTCTGGAATTCCCCTGTTTTTTGAGTGTTGTTTTTTATTTACTGTCCTGATTTTAGATTTTTTTTAATACTGGTAGCCAGGTTTCATTCATTTTCATGGGTTCCTCCTTATCCACATGCTTGTGGATTTCAGTGGCTTCTCTTGTAGCCTGACATGGTGGTTGTGAGAGTGGTCCAGCATTTCTGTGTTCTCAAATAATATGCTGTGTCCAGATTGGTTCATCAGTGCTCTGCTATGGCTGACTTCTCTGGTTGAGTTAGTCTACAGTGCCTTTCATGTTCCTTGACTCATGTTTGGATAATGCTGTGCTTGGTGGTCCCTATGTAGACTTATCCACAGCTGCATGGTATACGGTAGACTTCCCATTGGAGATCCCAGAGATTTGTAAAGGTATTGTGTCTAGAAATCTTTCAGTCCTTCAGCAAGGCTGGAGAGTCAAACTGGACAACCTAGACATCCATTTTAAAACCGATTTTTAGTCAAATCGCTGGACTGTATGTTACAAAGTACAGTTCTGTCACTCATATCAAAGCTTTACAGTATGCAAGCAGCCTGAAACAAGTCATTTTGTTCTTTTTCTTTATTGGAGTTAAATGTGCATGTGTGGCACTGAAACGCCTTTGGAAATGCATTTGATCCTTTCCATTCATTCTGACAGGGATCGCCAATGAAAATGGAGGGATTACGTTCATCCCAGTCCAGGTGAACGTGAGCGGTCAGGCACAGTCGCTTCCCAGCTCCATCCCTCCTCTCAGCGCCCAGACACTTGCCGGGACCCTGAGCCCTCAACAGATGACCAGCACATCCCTGCACTTACAAGGCCAGTTCCAGCAGATTCCTGTTCCTGGAGAACAGCGGCAGAAACAGCAAGGCATCAAATCCCGAAAAACCGGCTCACTCATGCTCTTCTTTAGAAAGGTAAGTCAACGCGGAAGGTCAAAGCCACCAATAGTTTAAAGTTCAAATACACACTTGGCTTTTAAGATCAGGAGATGCTTGAAATATATATTTTCATGACTGCCTTGCCTTACATAGTAAACATCCCATCCTCTCGAGTCAGGCTTCGGGCCCTGCCTATCTTTGCGATCGCATCTCCCTCTGAACCGGTGCAAACTCTAAGATCTTCCAGGGAGGCCCTCCTTTCGCTCCCACCATCGTCACAAGCGCAGTTGGTGGGGACAAGAGAGAGGGCCTTCTCGGTGGTGGCCTCCCACCTCTGGAATGCCCTTTCAGTGCTCTCCCCTCCTTTCGTAAGAGCTTGAAGACCTGGTGGTTTCAACAAGCCTTTGAGAACAACTTGTTCTAGCTCAGTCCCAGATACTATCCCTTGTTTTTGTTGAGCAAGTGCTCTTATTACCAAGAGACCCTCCTTATAAATGTGCAGCAAAGTAACAGCAGCAGCAGCGTGACCCAGCACCAGTAGGCAAAAGTGATAAAAAGAACAATAACACAGAGACCAATGTTATCTCTTCCATAGGAGACTTTTCTTTATAGCAAAATAATATGGTTGCACTATTTACAAGAGCAAGGTTTCCATAACACAAATAAAGTTCCAGATTTCACTGGAGCTTCACACGTAAGGCCTTTTCATAAGGAGGCCTACCTCACACTCTGAGGCCTTTTTCCCACAGAGGCAAACTAATACATAGGCCTAATATCTCTGAGACCTGTTCTCCCACTGAAGCATTCTCTCACACAGAGAGGCTTCTCTCACACTGAGAGCTCTCTCAGACTGAGGCATTACTAAGCTACAGGCAAACCTGCTTATATTGAACTACAACTTTTGCTGAGTCACTGCATCCATTTAACCCTTTCAGTGCTTGACTCACATTTTTGTAATTAAAATACCTACCGTATTTTCTGGCATACAAGACTGGGGGTATAAGATGACCCCCCCCCCCATTCCATGAAGACCGGCTGCGGGTGATGGCCCACTGGGCTGTCCTCACGGCCTCCGCCACTACTTTCAAGGCCCTCCTCCGCCCCGCCCTTCACCTCCTCCGAAGGCCACTGGGCTCACCTTAGGCCCAAGGAAGTGCCTCCGGAAGAAGACTCCCAGCAGCTGCGTGCCTGGGATGTGCTCGCTGAGGCATTCTGGGAGCCATAGGAGTCAGAGAACTACGGCTCCCAGAATGCCTCAGTGAGCACATCCCAGGAACGACGACGCCGAGGCTGCTGGGAGTCATCCGAAGGCACTTCCTTGGTCCTAGACGAGCCCAGTGGCCTTCAAAGGAGCTGAGCATCGGGGCAGAGGAGGGCCCTGAAAGTAGAGCGGCGGGGGCCGTGGGGACAGCCCAGCACGCCATCACCCCGGCCGATCTCCATGGAAATACGGCCTGTTGCTCCTCTTCCTCATGCCCTTCCTCCCTCCGCCGACCTTCCTCCCTCCTCAGTCCATGCCACCAAGGTAGTTAGATTTGATTATTTTCTTGTAATTATTATTATTTTAATTTTATACCTGGCATACTAAACAATCCCCTACTTTTCATAAGTCGTCTAGTAAGCCAACTTTTAAAAAGTCGTCTAGTAAGCCGGAAAATACAGTAGTTAATTTTTAATAATTCTGACAATGTTTACTATGTAATAAATTATGTTTGACATAATAAGCACAGTTTTTTTAATAAGCACAGTTTTAAAAACACCTTGTCATAGGTTATTTTTAATCCTGTCTTTTTCTTCTCACAGGTGTTCCACTTAGCGAGCGTCCGGCTGCGAGACCTTTGTCTCAAGCTAGATATTTCTGACGAGCTGAGAAAGAAAATCTGGACCTGTTTTGAGTTCTCATTTGTACAGTGTTCCGACCTCATGATGGACCGGCATTTAGACCAGCTCTTGATGTGTGCCATATACATAATATCGAAGGTAAAGCTTCACAGGGCTGGCTATATAGCTTGAAAGATAAGAAATGTAATCGTTCAGTAAAAAGGTTTCATTTACCATCAAATGGATTCTTCTCCTGCATTCTAGGTTACAAAAGAAGACACGTCATTTCAGAATATCATGCGTTTCTATCGGACCCAGCCCCAAGCTAAGAGCCATGTAAGGAAAATGAGTTGAAAATGGATTCTTTCATGTGGTTTATTGAGTGTTTTATTTCAAATGGCAGTGGCCTATTCATTTATAGAGACTATTTATTTATTTATTTATTTATTTCAAATATTTGTACCCCGCCCTTGTCAACCCCCGGAGGGGGGACTCAGGGCGGCTTCCAGTTGGCACGATTCGATGCCTACATGAGTACATATCAATACATAATGAAACCAATAATTGCATACAATCAAAACATTAAATCCATTCAATTAAAATATGCTAAAATATAACAGCCATATGGACTTATCTAGCCAACATTCTCAGATCAGAGACTCCATCAAGCTTGTCCATAGTTCATTGCCATAGTATATTGTCCTCATTGTCGTTATCCTTGTCAGCATAGTCACCTGGAGGCCTGACCCCACATCCATGTTTTCAATTTTTTTTTTCTGAATGAGAGGAGGGATGTAGATGACCTAATTTCCCTGGGTGGGGGGGCCACCACCAAGAAGGCCCTGTCCCTTATCATTTAGAGTCATTTCACCCAATGGCCGTTGTTCAAAGCCCCTTAATTCCAAAGTAATCAATAGCAACAATTAAACAATGAAAACATTAGTTCAATATTTCTCAACCCGAGCCAGGACCCCTGGGGGAGGGTCGCGAGGGGGGTTTCAGAGGGGTCGCCAAAGATCGGAAAACACATATTTCTGATGGTCTTAGGAACCTATTTGCAGAAAAGGATTTTTGGTGTTGGTGAACCACAGCTTCCAGAATTCAAAAATAACCCCTCCCTCCAACCCCACCAGTATTCAGTGTTGGTGGCCATGTAGGTAGTGTGCCAGGTTTGGTGCAGATCCATTACGGGCTGGGTTCAGAGTGCTCTTTGATTGTAAGTGAACTATAAATCCCAGCAACTACAACTCCCAGATGTCAAGGTCTATTTTCCCCAAACTCCACCAGTGTTCACATTTGGGCATATTGAGGATTTGTGCCAAGTTTGGTCCAAATCCATCATGGTGCTCTCTGGATATAGGTGAACTACAACTCTAAAACTCAAGGACAATGCCCACCAAATCCCTCCTGTATTTTCTCTTAGTCAAGGGAGTCCTGTGTGCCAACTTTGGTTCAATCCCATCATTGGTGGAGTTCAGAATGTCACGAAGGGGTCGTGACATTAGGAAGGTTGAGAAACACTGCATTAGTTGATCTTGGAGCAGAGAGTAATTTTTCAGTAATATATTAATTTTTGTCTTATTGAAGGTATATCGCAGCGTCTTGATAAAAGGCAGAAGACGAAGGAATTCAGGCAATGCTGAAAGCAACAACCAGCAAAATTCCCCCACGGAGAAAAATAAGGATAGAAGTAAGTTTGTTACGGTATTATTATTGCCAGTTTGGAAGGCCTTTTCATGTGTCCGAGTGAGTCCTTTTTATAACTATAACACTTGTGTATTGAGCAAATTGTTTGCTCAATGTGGAAAAAAAGCTTCCTCTATTTTGGAAATTAAAATATGGCAACCCTGAGTGACGGCGATCTAACTGGTTGACCAACTCCTTAGGCTTAGTAAGGGATAAGGAGGAGAGCTGGAAAGATTGAATGTGTAAGGTAGATATGGGCAAACTTTGGCCCTCCTTCCAGGTGTTTTGTGTCAGAAATATTAAAAATTAACTGGGTTTGATTATAAAAGTGTGAGTCAAGCACTGAAAGGGTTATAGGATCAGTGTTGGAAAAAATGTCATGGGCCATCCAGTCCAACCCCATTTTGCCAAGAAGCAGGAAAACTGCATTCAAAGCACCCCTGACAGATGGCCATCCTGCCTCTGTTTAAAAGCTTCAAAAGAAGGAGCCTCCAACACACTCCGGGGCAGAGAGTTCCACTGCTGAACGGCTCTCACAGGCAGGAAGTTCTTCCTCATGTTCAGATGGAATCTCCTTTCTTGTAGTTTGAAGTCATTGTTCCACTGTGTCCTAGTCTCCAGGGCAGCAGAAAACAAGCTTGCTCCCTCCTCCCTATGACTTCTTCTCACGTATTTATACATAGCCATCATGTCTCCTCTCAGCCTTCTCTTCTTCAGGCTAAACATGCCCAGCTCCTTAAGCCGCTCCTCATAGGGCTTGTTCTCCAGACCCTTGATCATTTTAGTCACCCTCCTCTGGATACATTCCAGCTTGTCAAGGTCTCCCTTCAACTGTGGTGCCCAGAATTGGACACAATATTCCAGGTGTGGTCTAACCAAGGCAGAATAGAGCATGGGGAGCATGACTTCCCTGGATCTAGACACTAGACTCCTATTGATGCAGGCCAAAATCCCATTGGCTTTTTTCCCCACCGCATCACATTGTTGGCTCATGTTTAACTTGTTGTCCACGAGGACCCCAAGATCTTTTTCACACGTACTGCTCTCGAGCCAGGCGTCCCCCCTTCTGTCTCTGCATTTCATTTTTTCTCCCTAAGTGGAGTATCTTGCTTTTGTCCCTGTTGAACTTCATTTTGTTAGTTTTGGCCCATCTCTCTAATTTGTTAGTAGGCCGAAGCCTGTTACAGTCAGTAGGCCAAAGCTTGTGTTGTCCTCGGGAGTCTGAGTAAAAGAAGCCCCAGGTTAAAGGCCTTGTGTGTAAAGCTGTGAGTAAAACTACTATATGAAGCTCCTGTGTAATTTAGGTGTGAGAGGAGGCTCTGTGAGAGTGACGCTGTTAATTTGCATGAGGAAAAAGCCCAGCATGGAAGCAAATAAGGAAGAGTAGAGAACGTTATTTACGTTTTGGAAACCTTGTTCTTGTAAATAGTGCAACTATATTATTTTACCACATAAGGGGTGGAGGAGGGAAGAGAAAGAGCACTGGATGAAGACAGTTAAAGAGGTACAAGCAGGAAGAGAGAAAATGGGAAAGAATTGCAGGTTAATGGGGAGCGATGCTGGATTGTTCTACCAACAAAACGTGTGATAGGATTTGCTCAGTAGGATTAAGTCTCTTGATTGCACTTCCTTAGCAAGCAGAGATTCCAGCCCCGTGATGATGCGATCCAGCAGCACCCTCCCAGTGCCGCAGCCCAGCAGTGCTCCCCCGACCCCGACACGCCTCATTGGGGCCAAAAGCGAGGAGGAGGAAGAGGAAGAGCGCGGGGACCTGATCAGGTTCTACAACAACGTCTACACCGACCGAATCAAAGACTTTGCCCTGAAGTACTCCTCAAGCAACGCAGTGAGTAGCGACGTATTGTCGAAGGCTTTCGTAGCCAGAATAATTGAGGTGTTGTGTGGTTTCCAGGCTTTTATGGCTGTGTTCTAGCAGCATTTTCTCCTGGCCTTTTGCCTGCATCTGTGGTTGGTTAAAGCAATGTGAGGCACTCCAACCTGTTGTGTGGCGGAAGGGACCTCTTATTTGTTTATCTAACCCAGTGATGGGCAACCTTTTGAGCTTAGTGTGTCAAAATTTACCAAAAACCTTGGGTGGGGTGTCAACTTCGAGAAAACCCCCCCATAATTTTGCAATATTTATAGTTTAAGTAAGAAAAATGTATATTCCATGCTGAGTTATGGAGTGAACAATGCTCAAACATGCAGATGTTAAATTTGTAGAGCCTTTTACAAATTTAAGGATGGAATTAGATTGGCTCTTATAAGGTGTACTTCTCTGTATGCATGTGGCCGCGTGTCATCAAAAATAGCCATGTGTGTCAGTGCTGACACGCGTGTCATAGGTTCACCATCACGGATTTAACCAGTAATGCAAAACAGTCAGGAAAGGGGCAGGCTGCCAGCCTGAGCAAATATGACACCAAGGAATAAAAGATTGTTTGCTTCTTCTTCCTCAGTTTATGACTTCTCAAGTTGGAGGTGATATATGGAGAGAGAGGCTTTGTTTGAAATGAAACAGTAACTCAGTTTATTTGTAGCATTCTTGTGGCAAAAGCGTAATGGTTACAGAGGTTCAAATGCTTGTTGATTACAGAACAATGTTTCACTATGAGTTTCATTCAACTTTTCCTTTTCTCAAAAAGGACTGTTATACTAATACATAAAAACAGGTTTCAAGCTATCTTTAACTTGTTCCTCTGTCTAATTTTCCAGCTACATCTCAGCTAACGTCCTCTCTCGCTTTCTCTCACTGACCAACCACACCAGAATGTTCAGTTAGGTTTCCTCAACTTATTTATCTGACTAATTTTCCAGTAGCTTTCCAGCTAATGTCCTCCATGACCTTCAGGACCTTCAGTTAGGCTTTTCCAACTGACATCCTTAACTCTCCCATTTTTCAAAGCTTGGCACCCGCTCATTTGCATATGACTAATCAGGTTGCTCGCATGCAAATAGCCTCCCCACTGGTGCTATTGCTCTCTGGGCACCACAAAATGGCTGCTCACATGCCAGCCCTTTAAGGTAGGACACTCCCTAACTTTCTAAGACGAGCCAAATTCGCTACAGCAATTTCTTTACAAGCAGTTTTTAACTTTAATGGACGTCATGTGCCCTGAATGTGCCTTTCCTTTAAATTGCATCAGCTTTCCTCCTGCAGACACTGAAATATTCACAGAGCCAATTGTTAGAGTATCTGTGTTCTGTTTTTGGTTTGTCGCACCACAGACACTTCCTTCTGTCGACGCGGATTAACAGTGCGTTGCCTTTGTTCTTCGACAGGGTGAAGTTCCTCCCTTGTCTCCTTATCCTTTTGTCAGAAGCGGATCCCCACGCAGGATACAACTGTCGCAGAACCACAAAGTCTACATCTCGCCTCACAAAAACGAGTCGGCGCTGTCTCCGCGGGAGAAAATATTCTACTATTTCAGCAGCAGCCCCTCAAAGGTAAGAAGAGCTGGGGGCTGAAGTCTTCTGCCAAGAGTGGTTTTGAAATCTCTGAGGTGGCGGAAGAGAGCCAACTACTGGGATGTAGTATCTTAATTTCTCTCTGTCTTCCAGAGGTATAGCCTCATGACTTTTTAAAATCATGATTTTTTAAAGATAGATTTTTATTGTTCACAAAAGAACATTTTGTTATTTTTGCATAAAAAGTGGGGGGACATTAAATTGATAGGAAAGTAGGTAAAGAAATGAGAGAGAAACTGAAACTAAAGACAGCTTTTTTGTTTATTGTAATGCTGTTTTGTTGTATTTTTTTCCATGCAATTTTGATGATGTTGTTTGTTTATGTTTTGGTTTTATTTTGATGTAATATGTTGTTTGGGCTTGGCCCCATATAAGCCGCTCCGAGTCCCCATTGGGGAGATGGTAGTGGGGTATAAATAAAGATGATGATGATGATTATTATTATTATTATTATTAACCTAGGGCTGTGCTGTAAGTCAGGTCAATGAGCATTTTTGTATTGGAGGTTGAGTGTCAGTTTGAGCAGAGCACCGTGATAACCACGGTTTTTCTCACTCGTATGTTGCAGAGGCTTCAAGAGATTAATAGTATGATTAGAACGGGAGAAACTTCGCCGAAGAAGAGAGGGATTGTTCTTGAAGAAGGGGCCGACGAGTCGCCGGCCAAGCGGATGTGCCCCGAAAACCACACAGCCCTCCTGCGACGACTGCAAGATGTGGCCAACGACAGAGGCTCCCACTGACCTTGTGGACAAGGCGTGGGCAAACTTCGGCCCTCCGGGTGTTTTGGACTTCAACTCCCACAATTCCTAACAGCCTACCGGCTGTTAGGAATTGTGGGAGTTGAAGTCCAAAACACCCGGAGGGCTGAAGTTTGTCACGCTTGTAAATGTAGACAAATCCGAGTTCAATCTGATGTTCGGCCAGGAGTTACGAACGGACAGTAATCCTTTGAGGCACTTTCCGTGGCTGATGGAAGCCCTTGAGCTCGGATCACAGAGACGCCTTCCAAAGTATCAGCTATTTCCCTCGCTCCTCCTTGGAGAGGGGAGTGTCGGCCGCCGTAGTTTCTTACTACAGCGTTTAATTTATTGGGCAGAAATAACCGATAAACATTTCATCCCGCAAAGAACCGACGACGAGTATCCTTGCATTAATACTCTCCAAAATAATGTTTTTAAAAGCTATTATCAGTGTAATGCTTGGAATTGGCAGCCTTTGTGGGGCGGAGTTACGTAATAATTGAATGTTGTGACGTTGCAGGAAGTGGGTCCTGTGCCCACGTTTAAGCTGGGAAAACCTAAAGGCACAATTGGAACAGCAAAATAGATAAGGCTACATTTGAAATAGCTATGATATTGTTTCTAATCTTTAATTTCATGTGCCTGCCACACAATTATGGTAAAGTTACGGGGATATCTTCAATATCTCTTTCTGATCTCTGTTGTTTTAGCTGTGCAATGTTTTAAACCCACTCTTATGCAGAGAGTAGCAATTCAATTCTAAAATGTGTGTTAGAGTTTGGCTACTCTGTAATAGCACTTTTTACGTATATACATGTATATATATTTTTAAATAGTCAGATACGTGTTTGTGTTGAACGGCTTGAATCGTATTTATTGTCCAAGAGTACACAGTGGTGATGTTGAACTCGTGTACGTTCATTTCTAGGCATTGGGATCAGTTTCTCCTGCTTTTTAAACCTTTGTACTTGCATCGTCCTTGAAAAAAGAAACGTAAAAAAAGCATTCTTACCAGACTTGCAGCCACTCCTGGATTTTTTTGAGGGGCGTTGGCACCTTTATGGTCCTCTGGGGGAGGAAGTTGGCTCCTGCACCTTGCCTCTCCCTGTTTTATGAGCCTTCAGATGTTTCACGAGATTTTTAGTTCACTTTTCTAAAAGCTAGAACCAGCATTTATGTTATACTTCCTGCAGCAAGCTATGGATATTGTCGTGAGAGAATTGTCTTCTCCAGTTTCCCAATTGTCTGTTCCTGGTCCATGGGACCAAGTTGACCATTTTAGCTGAACCAATTTAAGCTTTGCTATTCATCCACGCAGCAAACATCATTTGGTCCTTGTTACTGAAATCCAAACGTTTCTTCCAATGGTATCATGGACTTATCTCTTTCACCCTTGAAAGCCATGGGTTGGGATGTTCAGATGGAACATGGAGGCTGTCTTGGTATCATGGACTTGCCTCTTTCACCCTTGAAAGCCATGGGTTGGGATGTTCAGGTGGAACATGGAGGTTCTCTTGGTATCATGGACTTACCTTTTATCCTTGAAAGCCATGGGTTGGGATGTTCGGATGGAACATGGAGGCTCTCTTGGTAACATGGTCTTATCTCTTTCACTCTTGAAAGGCATGGGTTGGGATGTTCAGATGGAACATGGAGGCTTTCTTGGTATCATGGACGTATCTCTTTCACCCTTGAAAGCCATGGGTTGGGATGTTCAGATGGAACATGGAAGCTCTCTTGGTATCATGGTCTTATCTCTTTCACCCTTGAAAGCCATGGGTTGGGATGTTCAGATGGAGGCTCTCTTGGTATCATGGACTCTTTCCCCCTTGAAAGCCATGGGTTGGGATGTTCAGATGGAGGCTCTCTTGGAATCATGGTCTTATCTCTTTCACCCTTGAAAGCCATGGGTTGGGATGTTCAGATGGAACATGGAGGCTCTCTTGGTCTCATGGACTTACCTCTTTAACCCTTGAAAGCCATGGGTTGGGATGTTGAGATGGAACATGGAGGCTCTCTTGGTCTCATGGACTTACCTCTTTAACCCTTGAAAGCCATGGGTTGGGATGTTGAGATGGAACATGGAGGCTCTCTTGGTCTCATGGACTTACCTCTTTAACCCTTGAAAGCCATGGGTTGGGATGTTGAGATGGAACATGGAGGCTCTCTTGGTCTCATGGACTTACCTCTTTCACCCTTGAAAGCCATAGGTTGGGATGTTCAGATGGAGGCTCTCTTGGTATCATGGACTTATCTCTTTCGCCCTTGAAAGGCATGGGTTGGGATGTTCAGATGGAACATGGAGGCTCTCTTCCAGTCCGCTGCCTAATATAATAAGTTTTTGGTAAAATCCAAAGCTGCAGGTTGTTTGGTTCCATTGTGCAGCCATTATTCGTGGTCTCCAAAGACATCTTCTAAGCTGGATTGCTGTGAGTTTTCCGGGCTGTATGGCCATGCTCCAGAAGTATTCTCTCCTGACAATTCACCCACATCTATGGCAGGCCTGCTCAGAGGTTGTGAGGTTTGTTGGAAACTAGGCAGGTGAGGTTTATATACCTGTGGAATGTCCAGGGTTGGAGAAATAACTCTTGTCTATTTGAGGCTAGTGTGAAAGTTGCAATTGTCCACCTTGATTAGCACTGAATAGCCTTGCAGCTTCAAAGATAGACAGGCATGTTGTTGAAGGCTTTCATGACCAGAATTACTGGGTTGCTATGAGTTTCCCGGTCTGTCTGACCATGTTCTAGAAGCATGCTTATTCACAGTTCTGTAATTAAAGGGACAGAGGAGTTTCTGAGCATCTTCACACAACTAGCCAGAAATCCTCGTAAATGCTTATTTCGGCCATTAAAAAAGACTGGTTAGCCAACTTGGGACTTCAAAATGACACTAGGATTTCAAACTGGAGACTTCTGAAACAAATGTCCAGGATGGGAAGAAGACCTCTTTGTCTATTTGAGGCAAGTGTGAACGTTGCAAACGACCACCCATTGAGAGCCATCTATTGTGGGGAATGTGTCTTCTGGGTTGCTGCGGGTTTTCCGGGCTGTATGGCCATGTTCCAGCTCTCCTGCCCACATCTATGGCAGGCATCTTCAGAGGTTGTGAGGTTTGTTGAAAACAAGTCAAGTGGGATTTATATATCTGTGGGAGAAAGAACTCCTGTCTGTTTGAGGAAAGTGTGAATGCTCCAATTGATCACCTTGATTAGCATTGAACAGCTTTGCAGCTTCAAGGCTTGGCTGCTTCCTGCCTGGGGAAATCCTTCTTTGGGAAGTGATTAGCTGCCCCTGATAGTTTCTTGTCTGGAATTCCCCTGTTTTTTTTAGTGTTGTTTTTTATTTACTGTCCTGATTTTAGATTTTTTAAATACTGGTACCCAGATTTCATTCATTTTCATGGGTTCCTCCTTATCCACATGCTTGTGGATTTCAGTGGCTTCTCTTATAGCCTGATATGGTGGTTGTGAGAGTGGTCCAGCATTTATGTGTTCTCAAATAATATGCTGTGTCCAGGTTGGTTCATCAATGCTCTGCTATGGCTGACTTCTCTGGTTGAGTTAGTCTGGGAGGTGATTAGCTGGCCCTGATAGTTCCTGACGAGGCATCAGGAGAGAATGCTTCTGGGACATGGCCATACAGCCCAGAAAACACACAACAACCCACTTGTAAGAACTGCTTATTCAGAGTCCTGTAATTAAAGGGACAGAGAAGGTTCTGAGCATCTTCACACAACTAGCCAGAAATCCTCATAAATGCTTATTTTGGTCATGAAAAAAACCTGTTAGCCAACTTGGGACTTAAGAACGACGCTAGGATTTCAAACGGGAGACTCCTAAAACAAAGGGAAGCCTTCAAGGAAGAACGAGAAAGACAGAACGTGTTCACCATGATTGCAGTTTTATTTTTTTAAGATGCCACTATGCACACATGAATCATACCATGTTCTGAGGCAGCCTCTCTAGATTTCTCTAAAAGGTTTTTAATGCAACCAATACATCGCCTACTATTAAGAGCCCTGGATTTCTGTCCTCAGCAAATGTGTGATTTCAGGCTGCTTCTAATACTACTTCTGACACATCTTAAGGCCGCTAAGTTTTAAGATGCATGCAAACATTGAGAAGAGCGGGCCAAGTACGTTTCTGCCGGGCAATCCTTTGAGAGATTTCATCATTGTGCGTAATTTAGGGAAGGAAATGTCCGTTTATTCTTTCCTGTAGGCAACCGGAGTCCAAAATGGGGTCAAAAGATTGCCGACCGAGAGATTAGGAGCAGCCTGGAGTGACAATGCAAACTGGGGGGAAAGGGGGGAACCGTCCGATATACATCATCATCATCATTCATCATACATGCCCATCTCGGCCTTTCTGCCCCTAAAAGGGCTGGAAGGAATCCTATCCGACTATTTACAAATTCCATATCCTAACATTATTTACAATAGAAACCGATGCATTTAAAAGTTTTTAAATATAGTATTTTTACTCTGCTATATTAGTTTACATAAACACAGATTACCTCTGGAACAAGTTTCTCCTGCCTGTTCTTGACATGTTAAAAGGAAAAGCTTTAAAAGTAAACCCAAGAGGAGCCTCAAAGGCGGCCTTCGCCCCGTGAGGCCTCCTTCCCACCCCCTTCGCCAGCAAGAGTCCAGCCTTGTTAAAAACTACGTTTCCAACCTGCAGTTAAAACATACGTGTAAAACCCCAAGAAGAGTCCAAGCAATGCCACGGAGCAGGTTTACTTGAATCGCCGCTAGCGTTTACTCTTAACTAATCCAAAGTCCGCCGCTGGGCTTGCTTGGCTCCCGTTACATTCCCTCTTCCTGCAGAAAAAGTGTTGAGTGCGTCCTCCTTCGCGGGAGCTAAGTGGGCAGCGTCTTCTCCTCTTTGCTAAACGGCTGGACGGAGCCGGGCTTCACCCACGACAGGCCAGACACCTGCATGCTTTTACTCTGTTGATCCTCTTCCTTCTTCTACAAAGGTTGGAAAAGGAAGTCCATTAAAAGGACAGACCCTAGATTTATGAGAGCTGTTTCGGACTTTTGGTCTGGTGAAGAAGCATGGATCTGAAAGCATGGATCTGAAAAAAGACCAACTCTTCCTCTGGTCTTGTTTCTCCCACTCCATTTGACATGTTACTGGTTCCAAAATATATACTGCATATACTTCTGGGCCAGCTTCAGCCCCCCCTCCAGGTATTTTGGACTTCAACTCCCTCTATGGCTGTTGGGAATTGTGGGAGTTGAAGTCCAAAACACCTTGAGGGAGGTCTGAATTTTGCTCATGCTTCATCTAGACCAGGGGTCCACAAACTTTTTAAACAGAGGGCCAGGTCACAGTCCTTCAAACTGTTGGAGGGCCGGATTATAATTTGAAAAAAACATGAATGAATTCCTATGCACACTGCACATATCTTATTTGTAACACAACAAACACTTAAAACAATACCATAATTAAAATGGAGAACAATTTTAACAAATATAAACTTATTAAATGGCGCTCCATGCAGTCATGCCGGCCACATGACCTTGGAGGTATCTATGGACAACGCTGGCTCTTCGGCTTAGAAATGGAGATGAGCACCACACCCCAGAGTCAGACATGACTGGACTTAATGTCAGGGGACTACCTTTACCTTTACTATTTCAATAGGAAGTATGGGCGTGCTTTTGGCTGATGAGATAGGATTGTTGTTGTTGTGAGCTTTCAAGACACTTCAGACTTAGGTTGAACCTGAGCGAGGGCCAGGTAAATGACCTTGGAGGGCCACATCCAGGCCCCGGGCCTTAGTTTGAGGACCCCTGGTCTAGACCAGTGGTTCCCAACCTGTAGTCTGTGGACTACCAGTGGTCCACAAGAACAAAAATATGGTCCGCGGTCTCACCATTACTACACCATTGCGTTGAAACCATGCAGCAGGAGAGTAACTGGTCTCGCAATATTCTCTTATAATAATTTATTTCTTTGAGTAGTCATGTGACCATTTCAAAATACAACACGAATAAAATATAAGGCAAAAAGGAGAGAACAGCAGCTGACCTTCTATTTACAGTCAGAGTCTTATAATCCCGAGGTAATGAGGATGTCGGAAGGGGAGAGTCTAACTGCCCACGAAAGATCACTACTACCACATCAGCTCTAGATTATTAGGGTTTTCTGTGGGCAAGCAGATGGCGACTATTGGATGTCATATGTTCTGTATCAGAAACTAGAGCTGATGTCGTCTATCCAATGCAATTTTCTGAATCGGCAACCCAAATAACCAAACCAAATCTAAAGTTGACCAAAAACTGATTTGTAATCCTTTTGGTACTAATGTTGATTCCTGGTCAAAAAAAGGCGGGAACCACTAGTGTAGACTTCTACTGCATTGGTGCTTTCCCTCTCTTGCTGGAATGACCTTGGACTTACCCACTTATATTTTTTATATTACATGTAATATTACTAATAATATTACAATACAATGTTATAGTACAATATAGTAATATGTAATACTGATATTGTAATATGCTAATAATATAATACAGCAAAGGTAAAGGTTGTTCCCTGACATTAAGTCCAGTCATGTCTGACTCTGGGGTGTGATGCTCATCTCCATTTCTAAACCAAAGACCCAGCGTTGTCCGTAGACACCTCCAAGGTCATGTGGCCAGCATGACTGCATGGAGCACCGTTACCTTCCCACTGGAGCAGTACCTATTGTTCTACTCACATTTGCATGTTTTCAAATTGCTAGGTTGGCAGAAGCTGGGCTGACAGCGGAAGCTTACGCTGCTGCAACCTTTCGGTCAACATTGTATGTATATATATCTTGTAAGCCACTCTGAGTCGCCTTCAGGGTGAGCAGGGCGACATATAAATGCCGTAAATAAAATAAATAAATAAATAGTAACAAATGCAATTTTGGCCCCCAAAGCTGCCCTTGACATATATACATGAGGTCGACATGAGTATATATAGTAACTTTAGGCCTTTTAAATGCTTCAGGGCATTGCTGAATATGGAATTTCCCACATATATCTTCTTTCCGGGGGCTCTGCAACTTATTTGTCATCTATTATTTATACCTCTTTTTCTCTCTCTTAAGAAGAGGCTCAAAGTGGCTTACAGTACAACCAATATAATTCAGTTTTAGGCCAGGGTAGATAAACGTGCCTTTCCAGGAATTATTTGACTTGAAAACTATCATCAGCTAAACTGGCTAGTCCTTTTTGTTTGGAGTTCTAGGACAAAAATACCCAGAGGAGCAAAACTGCAGCTCCTGCTTTTACACAGCTTCCTTCACATTGAGAGTGCATTAAACCCATTGTTTGTTTTTGCACTTGCAATTGCTCAAATTAGTTGCCGTGGCAAGCAAAAGAGACCATTCTCCCATACCTTTTGAGTCAACATCTTCTCTCTAGCTTCATCATGTATAGCGGGATTCCAGGGAGAAAAGCTGTAAGACGAGCAGAATATGAAGCCTGAGATGAAGCAACTCCCCAAGTTGTACATATTTGATATAATAAATAAATACAAGACTGAATTGTGCATTTGTTTCTGACGTGGCACAGAAGTAAAGGAGGGCACATGCATCATTTCTGGTGTATCTGAATTTGTCTTAAAACATTCAAGAACTTTCTGACTGTGAGAGCTGTTCAGCAGTGGAACTCTCTGCCCTGGAGTGTGGTAGAGGCTCCTTCTTTGGAAGCTTTTAAAGAGAGGCTGGATGGCCATCTGTCGGGGGTGCTTTGAATGCAATTTTCCTGCTTCTTGGCAGAATGGGGTTGGACTGGATGGCCCATGAGGTCCCTTCCAACTCTAGGATTCTAATTTAAAAGGAGCTCTAATCCATGAGGCACATCCTCTGCCGTATTCCAATATGCAGCGTGTTAAACGGCACTAATTACTTACCTAATTGCATAAGGATCCTCTATTTTCGGCGGATCAAATAAACGACTACTGCATAGTCTGACACTGTCGACTACTTTGCTTTTGAAAAGTTGAATATCTTTTTCATATCTACGAAGGAGAAAAGAGAAATCAAGAACAAAAAATACACCTCGAGACTTTTACCCAAAGAAGCGGTGATGGTGAGTGTTCTCACAAGACGGTCTTCACGATTGTTCAATATATATTATATTATAATATGCCCTAGTGTAGGCATGGGCAAACTTGGACCTTCTGGGTGTTTTGAACTTCAACTCCCAGAATTCCTAACAGCCGGTAAGTTGTGGGAGTTGAAGTCCAAAACACCCAGAAGGGCAAAGTTTGCACATGCCTACACTAGGGCATATTATAATATGCATCTGAAAAATTTGTTACTGAAAGGTAATTCTGGCACACAAAAATCTATTAGCACAGCAGGTTAATCACCAGCTGCAGCTGCAGTAAATCTTACCAACCGAAAAGTTGACACTTCGAAGACCGGGTCAGGGTGAGCTCCTGACCTTCAGCCCAGCTTCCCACCCACCTAGCAGATCGAATAGCAATATGAGTAGATAAATAGTAACCACATTAAAGCAAGGAGGTATTTTAGGCACAGTGTTTGGATCAGAAAAGGAGGAAGTTTACAAACAAAAAAAAGCTCTTCAAAAAAGAGATAAGGTGACAGCACCCTCCTGTGGCCAGAACAGAATACAGCCTCCAAAGATGGCAAAAGAAGCCTATAAATATATACCTCTATCTGTTGTCTGTCTTGTCATTTAAACAGAGGCTGGATGGCCATCTGTCAGGGGTGATTTGAATGCAATATTCCTGCTTCTTGGCAGGGGGTTGGACTGCATGGCCCGTGAGGTCTCTTCCAACTCTGTGATTCTATGATTCTATGATTGTCTAATCGGCACAGAATGATTGCTGTATATGTATATCTATATAAAGAAAATGTAATGTTCATTTGTGGGATTAACATAACTCAAAAACCACTGGGTGAATTGACACCAAATTTGGACACAATCCACCTCTCAGGCCAACGAGTGCCCATCACTCATAAAAACACTGAAAAACACAGCAGATGGGACTTAAAAAGCCAAAAAAACCAAAGAGATGCTACAGTGCATGCGCAAAACAACACCCGACAAACAAAACACACAACAGCATATCCACACTCTCTTCCAAACTACAACTCCCAGCAACCCTATAGATAGATTAGATAGAGATAGATAGGTAGGAAGACAGATAGATTGATCTGGAGAACTGCTGGGAGTTGCAGTCCAAGAATAGGTAGAGAAGGAAGAAGGGAGAGAAAGAGGAAGGGAAAGAAAAGGGAGGGGAAGAAGGGAAGAGAAGGAAGGAAAGAGAGAGAAGGAAGGAAGGAAGGAGAGTAGGAAAGAAAAAGGGGAGGGAGGGAGGAAGATTTCTTCTCCTTGGATTTCTTTGAGAGCATTCCAATCCCTGCATATTTCCAATTTCCTATTCCTGGACTACAACTCCCAACAATCCTATAGATAGGTAGATTAGATAGGGAGGTAGGTAGGCAGATAGAAGGAAGGAAGGAAAGAGGGAAGGAAGGAAAGAGGGAAGGGAAGAGAGAAAGAGGAAGGTTGGTCACAGCAACGCATGGCGGGTACAGCCAGTAATAAATAAATACGAGAATGGGATGCAGACTAGCCAAATGGGAGAACACTGGTCTAGAGACACTGTTCTGCTTCCGGCACACAACTCACACAAAAACTTACAGAACAGCAGCTTCAGGATTCAGGGGGCTCGTGGTATCGATCTTGTAGAAGACCCGGCGAGCATACATAAGTATCTGCCATATGTGGTTGTGGTTTCGCCTTTGGAAGAAGCACAAGAGAGCCCGGCGAGTGTATTGGGAGGAGCGACCCAATTGAACCACCCTTCTCTAAATTCAACATTGCCGAGAACATGGCACTGACCTCCACTTGGCAAAGGCCCGTTTCACATCCAGTTCACCGGAGACGGGATCTACTAGCGGGTGGAAGATGGGCAGGTCGAACACCAAGCGCTGAGGGAGGAGGAAGAAGGCCTTAAAACCATGTGTAACTACAACATAATGTCTATTGATACAGATACAATGGGTGCTGCTCCAAAGTTCAAATGCCATCCTTTGCTGGTCTGAAGGGCAGTTACGTGGCACAGTTATTTATAGCAACAGTCCACTAAATGGCTTCATGGTTAGCTTCCAAATGGTGTTATTAGGTGACGACGAGAGGGGGGGAAAGGCTTGATGGAGCTCGGCTTCCAAAAAAGGTAGGTGTATGATACAGAATATGATAAGTCTGTTCTAGTGAAACAGTTTGGCAGGCTAGAGTCAGGGTGAAATAACAAAAGTTTGCCATCTATAAAGCTCAGAACATTCAGAAGAGATTCCCATTATTATTGTATTTGAGCTCTTAGGATATTTCAATTGTATTTGCATGTTGAAGGAGAGTGTTAGGGATTCCTCATCTTTGGAAGAGGAAGGGGAGCAGGGAAGTGCTCAGGAATTGGAGGAAGAAGAAGAATCAGACGATGAGGGTTTGAAAGTGCCCACATTTCTAGAGAGACGAAAAGAGACAGAGCACAGACGCCTTTCAGCTAGCATAGCTGCTAAAAACACTGAGCTAATTGGGAGACTCCTGAGTGGGGAATTCAGGGCTATAAATCAGAAGCAGGAGCAGTCAGCTTTAGCTGGTAACAACGACCCTGATACTGTTGTTTTCACTCCAATGGAATCTGCTTTGTGTCTGCTGCTAAGGACTTAGTTCATTGTCGTTGTCTGATGGAAGACTGGTGTTTCTTTTGGGATATTGTAAGAGACTTGAATTTGTGTCTGGATTAAGACTTCCTTGTTTTCTTTTGCACTTTTCAATTGCATTTGCTTATCCTTTGTGTTTGCTGAAGTAAAGCATTTTTCTTTTACTTTCAACGTTGTCTAAAGGCTGTTTTTGAAGGGCATCTCAGGACAGAGAGGGCGCTTGAAAGCCATTTTGTAAACAAGGAATTTTGCTTTTGGGTACCTTTAAAGCAAACAAGTCCTCCAAAAACACATATTTCTTAATGGCCCTCCCACACAGCCATATAACCCAGAATATCAAGACAGAATAGCCCACAATATCTGCTTTGAACTGGGTTATCTGAGTCCACACTGCCATATATCCCAGTTCAAAGCAGATGTTTGAGATTTTATTCAGCTGTGTGGAAGGGGCTTGTGTTACATTTTATGACAAGACTAACATTACAGGTATTTGCATCACACGCTCCCAAAACATCTTAAAATACATACAAATATATTAAGTTTTGGAGACTTAATGAGGTTTTGGACTGACATCTTCCAAAACCAGATACACAACTGCCATGTAAGTCAGAATCCAAAGTTTTGGAGACTTTTGAGGTTTTGGGGGGACACTTTCCAAAGCCCAGATACACACACCACCATCTTAAGTTCAGGGCTGTGTCACTCCATGATATGGGAATACAGATCTGGTCCAAGAGGAAAAGACAGTATGGTTCACACTCCATATTTGAAGAATTTTGGGGGGGACTTTGCAAGAAGATGAAGAAGAAGAGAGTCCATCTTGTAGGTTGTGAAGTCTGGGAAAAGTTTGGCAAATGGGGAAAAGTCCCTTTGTGTGTGTACCTAATGAAGAGTTCTTGGTTTGTACGTTTCAATAAAAGTTGGTTTCGAGCAAAAACAAAATACATACCAAGATAACAACATAATTAAGGTTGGAGGGCAACTTTGCTGGGAACAGAGTTTACATTCAGGCTTTAGGCTCTTCCCTCCACAGAAAAGGAGCGCAGGGACATTCCAATTCGTTGGCAACCTACATAAAGTCACTTACCCCTCCAAACACCTGACTTATACAGTGTCAAAGTAGTAAATTATTTAGATACTAAAGAGACCAGCTATTACGTTTCTATCTGTAGACATACAGGCCATTTCTATATCTGCACCGCCAGATATAAGAACAGAAGGGAATGAAGGAAAACGAGGTGCACACCGTTTGGTAACTAGATTTTCTACAACATGTGGCATTCAAATATTTAAGACCAACACACTCTTAAATTTAAGCATCTAAATATCTTCCAAATTGAGTTCCCTTTCCAAGTAAGCTCTTTAATGTAAAGAGGCCTGTTATTCACAGATTGCCCTGCCTAAGGTTCCTCTGACAATTGCCATAAAAGTGTCAGAATCTGGCTGGATCTCTTGAGATCTGCCAGAGCTTACAGAAAAAGAATCTCCTGTTACTCGAGCTAGGCTTGGCTTTTAAGAGCAGAGTTCAAGAAGCGAATGGTAAGCATGGCAAAACCTGTCAGAAGTATTAAATATTAAGTGGGTATTTTGATTACAAAAGTGTGAGTCAAGCACTGAAAGAGTTAGTAGGCCAAAGCCTGTTAGAGTCAGTGGGCCAAAGCTACATCTTAGAGTTCGCGCCGGTTCATCTCCTTCTATGAACCGGCGCGAACTCTAAGATTTTCTGGGGAGGCCCTCCTTTCGCTCCCACTACTGTCACAAGTACGGTTGGTGGGGATGAGAGGGCCTTCTTGGTGGTGCCCCCCATCTCTGGAACACCCTCCCCAAGGAAATTAGACAGACCCCATCCCTCCCCTCCTTTCGTAAGAGCTTGACTGGTGGTTTCAACAAGCCCATGAGAATGACTAGTTCTAGCTCAGCCCTAAACATTGTTGAATATGGCCGTATTCTTCCTACCAATTACCCAGGTCACCTCCTCTAATAGGTCCCAGAAATGAACAGTCATTGACCCGTACCTATTATTGTTGTTACTATAGCACTGAATTCCCGGGCCCCCTAGAATTTTTGAGCTTGCACTAATCTAGGCCCGGCCTTTTAAATTGCCTTGAACAGGCAGGATTACTTTTAATGTGTTATGACAGCAATTTTTATGCTTGTGTTGTCTTGTTAATCTTATGGTTATGTTGTTTACTCTGTATGTATTGATGATGTTACTTGGAAACCGCTGTGAGTCCCCCTCAGGGAGCTAGAGCAGTATATAAATAAAGTTTTATTATATTATTATAGTATCATTCTGAGGAGTGTGAGATAAACCTCTGTGTGAGAAAAGCCTTGTGTGAGAAAGCTCCAGTGTGAAGGCTATTATTTATTTATTTATTTATTTACTTATTTACAGCTTTTATATCCCGCCCTTCTCACCCCGCAGGGGACTCAGGGCGGATTACAGTGTACACATATATGGCAAACATTCAATGCCAATTTTTGACATACCAACATATACAGACATACACAGAGGCTATTTAACTTTTTCTGGCCGCCAGGGGAGCTGTCGCTTTCATCGTCCATCTGCGACGCTGATGAAGTACTTTCCGCATTCCCCGCATGCTTCCCCGCTGGAATGCTCTGCTGGAGTCTTCTTTATGGCCTCATAAATTAATTTAGCCTCCCCACACTTTAAGGTGGTACCTAATTTTCCTACTTGACAGATGCAACTGTCTTTCGGGTTGCAAAGGTCGACAACAGGCTACACACAATTGGTTGGAAACCCACTCCAACCCGGGCTGGCTTCGAACTCATGACCTTTTGGTCAGAGTGATCTTAATGCAGCTGACACTCAGCCAGCTGCGCCACAATCCCGGCTACTGCGTGTAACACTACTATGTATTTGTTTATTTGTGGTATGGAAACCTACTTCTTGTAAATAGTGCAACCATATTATTTTACTACAAAGAAAAGCCTCTTCTGAATGTTCTGAGCTTTACAGGTGCAAAGTTTTGTTATTTAAGCCCTACTCTACCCTGCCAGACTCTTTCACATGAACAGAAATATCATGCACTCTATCATCCACCTGCTTTTTAACAACTGATATCTAGATATTCCCCTTTCCCATCTCTTCCCACACCATTGCCTTTTTCCAAGTCATTTACACTTTAAACTCAAGTCCAGTTGTTTCCACTGGTCTGACGTAAACTTTCTGAAGGGAAAGTGCAACAAACCGGAATAGAAACGGAGTCCACTGTTACTTACTGGGCAATCGCCATCTGGATAGTTGTCGGGGATGTAAACCGTAAATTTAAAAACACCGTCCTGGTACAGCCCGTGTCTTATAAATATTACTCCAAACCACACTATGGTGGGGAAAAAAGAGAGATTACAATCAGATTCAAGAGAAATGACTTTCAGAATGAGAAATGGAATCAGAAATCTTAAGACGTACTTAATGCAGATTGGTAAGAGGGTTGAACATAGACACCAGGCAGTTTCTGCTTCACAACCAAAGTACTAGAAGAAAAGGAGACACAACTAAGTTAGGATTAAAATGGAACACAGAAAACTCACCAGCATCAAGGCACTCTACTCTGAAAGTATCTGTTTTGGTTTCACAGCTGAGAACGTCTTGCCTCATTACGAGAGTACTCAGCCTAGTTGTTCAGTGCAGAAGTCTTTCCCCTTCCCATATATAAAGGTAAAGGTTTCCCCTGATATTAGGAGCCCCCAGTTGTGTGGTGGGTTAACCTACTGATGCCTCAATTAATGTAATTGTATTGGTATCTATGTTTATTTTGAAATTGACCAGTAGCTGCTGCATTTCCCACCCTCGGCTTATACTCGAGTCAATACGTTTTCCCAGTTTATTTATGGTAAAATTAGGTGCTTCGGCTTATATTCGGGTCAGCTTATATTCGAGTATATACGGTAGTTTTTCGGGTATATACGGTAGTTTGTGGCAGCCACAAAAACAAAGTTTCTGGAGTAGAACTACTTTCAAAGTAAGTTCTGCACAATTAAACAAGAAATAACGCTTTCAAAGCAGATATTCAAATCGTGTTACATTGAGTAATGAATGCATTCAATAAATATATTAATAGTTCACCCATTTGTGTTCTCCATTGTCTCACAGAATGTATTACAAAGTCTGTTTGGAAGACGTCTTAAATTATTTCTGAGCTTTTTTGTGGGGTTGTTTTGTTTTTCGGGACACGTGACATAACACGACCAGATTGCAAGGCTATCAAAGGACACCCAAAGCCTCGGCCTCTGATGAGAGATATCAGCGAGAACAAGAGGAAATACTGTTCTGGACACAGAAGCGTTACTGAATGGAATTTTACCCAGCCTTCCTATGACAGTGGGACAAAAGCGCATGAGGGGGCATTCTGCCAAAGCAGTGAGCCTCAAATCAGCCTCCATAAATCAACTTTCAATCAGCTGAAACATGCGAGAACAAAGCCAGTCAACAAGAACAGTGCAAAGCCCAGCAACCGAATGACCGCAGCAAAACTCACATCACAAAAGAGTGACTGGAAGTGTTGACTTCCAAGCAAAATTTGATGAATAGATTAACAATTACTGAGCTGCACTCGCCTCTTTTAAAGACAACTCAAAATGACAACAGCCCCTAATAATTTGGCAACTATAAAGGAGAGACACACAAAAATGCTGAGTGTTTGAAAAAGCTCAAGCTTTAGGACAGCCTTGGTCCGATACACAACTCTGTAACATACTTATTTGACAATTTGTCAACATTTTATGACAAGAGGAATTTCTAATGTAGAGAGACTGCTGTAATCTACATAGAGCAGTGGTTCCCCATCTGTGGTCCGGGGACAAGCAGTGGTCTGCAAGAACTAAAATAAGGTCATGGAATCCTAGAGTTGGAAGAGACCTCATGGGCCATCCAGTCCAACCCCATGCTGAGAAGCTGGAAAATTGCATTCAAAGCACCCCCAACAGATGGCCATCCAGCCTCTGCTTAAAAGCCTCCAAAGAAAGAGCCTCCACCACATTCAGGGGCAGAGAGTTCCACTGCTGAATGGCTCTCACAGTCAGGAAGTTCTTCCTAATGTTCAGATGGAATCTCCTTTCTTGTAGTTTGAAGCAATTGTTCAGTGTCCTAGTCTCCAGGGAAGCAGAAAACAAGCTTGCTCCCTCCTCCCTATGACTTCCTCCCACATATTTATACATGGCTATCATGTCTCCTCTCAGCCTCTTCTTTTAGGCTAAACATGCCCAGCTCTTTAAGCCACTCCTCATAGGGCTTGTTTTCCAGACTTTTGATCATTTTAGTCGCCCTCCTCTCGAATAAACCTGATTGCTCATTGGAGGGAAGAATAGTAGAGGCCAAGATGAAGTACTTTGGCCACATCATGAGAAGAAAGGAAAGGTTAGAGAAGACAATGATGCCGGGGAAAATGGAAGGAAAAAGGAAGAGGGGCCAACCAAGGGCAAGATGGATGGATGGCATCCTTGAAGTGACTATTGATGTAGGCCAAAATTCCACTGGCTTTTTTTGCCGCTGCATCACATTGAGGTCCGCAGCCTCAGTGTTACCACACAGTTGCAATCAGCGCAGCTGGTCTCACAAAACCCTCATATAGTGCCGAGGCTTATTAAATATGGATTTCTGTGGGGAAGCCAATGGCAACCACTGGCATATGTTCTGTATCAGAAACTAGATCTGAGATGGTCGTTCCAATGCAATTTTCTGAATTAGCACCCTAAATAACTAAACCGAATCTAAAGTTGACCAAAAATTGATTCGTAACCCTTTTGGTACTAATGTTGGAGAGTGGTCCCTGGTCAAGTGGTCTTTGATTTAAAAAAAAAGGTTGGGAACCACTGACATAGAGCAAATCAAGCCTAAACTCTCCCTAAAGCAGGAAGACTAAACTGAGGCTGGCATACTTTGGGCACATCATGAGAAGACATGACTTGCTAGAAAAGACAACCATGCTTAGGTAAAATGAAATAGAAAAAGAGGAGTCTATTCATCTGTATTACAGATGAATAGACTCAACTAAGGAAGCGTCAGCCTTCAATTTGCAAGATCTAAACAGGGCTGTTGATGACAAAAATGCCTTGGATGTCTTGCATTCTTGGGGTCACCATAAGTGGAAGTCAACTTGATGCCCGTTAATAACAATGCAGGCAAGTTTTGAAAGGATCGCATAGGAGAACTGATATGAATTTTTGATTGCAACTTGTTGCTTTCCCCTACAGAACTGATTTAACTGAGCCTTGAACTATATTTTAGTCCCAATTTGTTAGTCATGGTACAATGTCACTATGAGATCAAGCCTAATGCCTTTTTAGAAGTGCTGTACTTTGTCCAAGATGAAAGGAGATTTCTCCCAACCCATAAGCCCTGAAGAAAAATTGATAAAAATAATAACAGAGACTCTCAGTTAACCGGCACTCAATGGAGGTTGGTAGATGCTGGGTGAATGTCAATTTTGGTTGCTTGAGTTACTATTAAAAATAAGCCTAACTCATCCTCTGCCTCGTATTATATCATACCATACACTTTGTACTCACTTGATATTCATGTCAAAACATAGTGATTAAAAGAAAATTAAGAGAAATAAAGAAAAATTAACTTACATTCTCAGTAAACATTGCTTTTAATTTTAATTTAAAGCATTACCGGTATTTCTTTGATTATAAGACACACCCTAATTTCAGTTCCAACAACAACAAAAATATATATGATACACCTCTAGTTCTGAGATGCACCCCATTTTTAGAGATGTTTATATAGGGGGGAGTGTGTCTTAGAATTGAAGAAATACAGGGTGTCTTGGCTTTTTTTGCTGGTTGCTTGAGAGTTATTGTTGCTTGAGTTTCGGTTAACTGAGAATCGACTGTAGTCCCTGCAAAGATGTTTCAAGGAGCACTCCTGAATAATTTTATATAACTATTTCAAATAATTGCATCTGGCAATCCATCCGAAGGAAACAGCACCAACAAACTGCATGCAACTTATGCTAACCAATATTCAGAAGGATAGGCCATGCCATTAAAAAAACCAGAAGTAACAAGCTATACAAAGCACATTGTTTCTAGGTTGAATGATGACATACAATTCTGCCAGGAGGGAGTACTCTAAATAGAAAGGTCCATAGGAGGCATGCGTTCCATTCGTAGACTGAGCTGAAAGGGCCGGAGAAGCAGGCTTGGTCATCGGCACAGCATTCTTGGGAATTGAAGGCAGCTGCTTTTTCGGAGCAGTGCGGGGAGGACTGTTCTTCAGCTCACCAACCAGAGCCTTTTCTTCGGTTTCGGGTCTCTGTTAAAGATGACAAAATGTGAAAAACAACAGTTCATCCCAGTTGTATTTCACGGTTAACAGTATATCCTAGTGTTTTTGTTCTCATGTTTGTTGCAGCAACCTGAAAAACCTGACATCTCATCTAGACAAATGGCCACTCTTAAGTTAAAAGTGGTTTCTCCCACTTTTTGCAGGGGTCCTACACATTACAGTCTCCAACAACCTTTCAATGTAGACATAATACAAAAAGCATGAAAGCCCCAGTGAGACACAGGATAGGACAAGCCTCATTTGAATTATTTGCCTGGCTGAAAGCACTGTACTCCACCTTGCGTGTTGAATTTGTAGACATGCTCCAGAAAGGGTTCATAACGTGTATTCCAGGTAGATGGTGGTAAATAGGCTATGCCTCCCGGTGGTCCAGCTTTCTGGGGTTAGTTTTTGTCCTAGAAACATAAAAATGAAATGATAAATTTAGTACCTGGCCAGCCATATTCCACCTTAGTATCAGAGAGAGAGAGAGAGAGAGAGAGAGAGATCCCACTTCCACCATCTGCATTCTTTGCGAATAGTCTTAGGATGCCATCTCCAACGGCATGAACATTTCCTCATAGCCATGTATAACATTTTGTTATGAAGCCAAACAAGATGCCAGCTTGTTTTTTTAATAGATGGCTAGAACAGTTTGTTCAAAACAGGTATAACTTAATACACCAGATTAAAATCACATAATTGTCCTTCCTGAGGCATTCAAAGACAACCTGTAAGGCTGGGAGCTTTTCGCTGCTGTCTGCAGCCAAATTGCCACCAAAAGCTCTTTCAGTGCAGTGTTTGCATTCTCTCATTGTCTTCTTGCACAATGAAACAGTTTAAGAGTTACACAAAGACAACCAGTCAGTTTTAGAAACTGCAGTTTGTTTGTTTTTCCCCCAGAACGCTTCACCTTATCCTGGGCAAGATATATTCCAAAGAACTCCTGACCTCCCCTACAAAAGTCCTGCCCAAGCATTACAACGTGGACTTCGGATTCCCAGGTTCCAACCGCAATGTACGATCTGGCAATAAGATTGCTGCTTAAGGAGCAAGAGCAGCCACATAGCAAGGTATTTCCATAACTCAACCACCCCTTTGTTGATCTGACTTCACTGCAACCTGGGCTTCCGATGAATGGTGTGAACACAAAAGTATGATACAAGAGGCTTCCTGCCCCTTCTTATAGAGCCATGGTGACTTTTATATTTAAGAAAAGTCAACAGAAAAATACAAATACTGCAGTGAAGTATTATCCTATAAACTTAGTACCTGAGACATGGGATTTCAGTAGTGAAATACAGAGAATCCTGCCATTACCATTGTAGTATATCTTCAACACCTTCAATTCACTACTATACTTGGGAGATAAACCTATTACATAAATCAAATTTCAACAATATTGATGAAAAAAAATTACAAAAGATTTTCAAAGAACAGATAGAAGTCCTACCAAACATTTTTTTCTTCCCCGCTTATTTTTTATTGGAGGGGTCCTTCACATTGTAGAGACAAGCTTTATAATTTCTTTATTCCTTTTTTTCCCTTTCCTTTTTTCTTTTTCCCCCTCTATACCCTTGTTCTATCTTATTTCCCGGTGGCGAAGTGAGTTAAACCCCTGTGCCAGCAGGACTGAAGACAAACAGATTGCAGGTTTGAATCCGGGGAGAGGCGGATGAGCTCCCTCTATCAGCTCCAGCTCCTCATGCGGGGACATGAGAGAAGCCTCCCACAAGGATGAGAAAAACATCAAATCATCCAGGCGTCCCCTGGGCAACGTCCTTGCAGACAGCCAATTCTCTCACACTAGAAGCAACTTGCAGTTTCACAAGTCACTCCTGACACGACAAAAAAAACTTATTTCCTACTTTTCTATCTTCTTCATGATATTCCCCCACTTTCCATGTAACCATATTACCTTTCAATAAATTTTTTTAAAAAAAAAACTATTACATAAGTCCTTTAAGGTAAAACTTCCTATGCCACACTGTCCAGAGTACATTTCAGCCTTTAAAAAGCAGCCAAGGCTACATAATCAATATTTTTGTTATTTACAAAATTGGCTCACCACCATTTTTATGACTGGCATACTGCCGTGTGCCTTCAATTAATTTCTGGCTTGTAGTTGACCTGACTATAGTGGATGTGGCTCTTAATGAGACATGCTGCATTATCATAGGATGTCTACACCCAACACTGCCAGTATTGTACCACCTGATATCCGCTGGGAAGTAGCAGCCAGCAATGAAAGGGCGAAGGCATGGACATTGCCAGCCCAGCCTCTGTTTGGATATCAGCCAGCATAACAATGACTTAAATCAAGAAACACCTTCCTAAGATATACAGAGATACTCACAGGATACTCAGCAAGCAAGAGCCCAAAAGTGGCAGGCTGAGACCGGATGAGAAACTCCCTCCTGGACACACAAAACACTGGGCAACTTGGAAGGTGCTCAACAGACTGTGCTCTGGCACCACGAGATGCAGAGCCAAGCTTAAGAAATGGCGCTACAAAGTGGAGCCCACAACATACAAGTGTGGAGAAGAGCAAACCACAGACCACTTTCTACAATCCAGTATGAGCCCTGCCACAGGCACAATGGAGGACCTTCTTACAGCAACACCAGAGGCACTCCAAGTGGCCAGCTTCTGGTCAAAGGAAATTCAGCATAATGCTAAGTTCTTAACTCTGTTTGTGGTTTTTTATACATTATAACTGTATTCTCAATTTGATTCTGACATGATGAATAAATAACTGACCTAAAGCAAACCTACCATGGGGCTTTCTTGGTTTGTGTTTGCCTTCTTGAGGCTGAGAGATTGTGATTTGGCCAAGGTCATCCAATGTGTTTCCACAGCTGAAAGAGGTTTCAAAACTGATCTCCAGAGTCACAATACAAAGTTCAAACAATTACACCATAATATATACACCTCTATATCCACCATAAGGAACTAAATTTGAAGGCAATCAATGATTTACATCTTGTTTCAATACTTACAATAAATAAGGCAGGGGTAAAGAAAATGAATGACATCTTTAAAGCTAACTGTCCTCTTTTGACATGGATTTCAATGCACTTCTGAGATACAGTTGCAATACAAACCCCAAGCCAAAGGTTTCAAGACAGTATTCCATATATGTACCTATTGGTCTAGTCATGTCGCATGCTTTCAAACTGCTAGGTTGGAAGAAAGTAGAACTATGGGACCAGGATTTTGGTCAGCAGATATAAGGCGATTTACATGAGGATACGATTCTATTTGGTAACAAATGTTTTTATATTGTTCTTTTAATGGCTTATGTATTTTAATAGTTTGATGGTTTGTTTAATGGTTATTGTATTAATTGTTCATGTAATGCATATGTAAGCCGCCCTGAGTCCCCTTTCAGGGTAGAGAAGAGACAGGATATAAATACCAGAAATAAATAATAATAAATAATAAATATAAAGTAAAGGTAAGTCAAATTGAGTCCAACTCTGGGGGATGGTGCTCATCTGCATTTCTAAGCCAAAGAGCCGGCGTTGTCCACCTTCAAGGTCATGTGGCTGGCATGAATGCTTGTAGTGCCGTTACCTTCCCGCCAAAGCAGTACGTATTGATCTACTCACATTTGCATGTTTTCAAACTGCTAGGTTGACAGAAGCTGGGGCTAACAACAGGAGGTCACCCTATCTTTGGATTTGAACCGCCAACCTTCCAATCAGCGGGTTCAGCTGCTTAGTGATTTAACCCACTATGCCACTACAGCCCCTATAAGTACCTATAGAAATCCACAAAAGTCCAAACTAAAATAAATTAGATGGACATAAAGAGGTCATAAGTCTCCTAGTTCTATCCTTTGGAAAATAAAAAAGATTAACACGTATCTCTTTGAAAGACAAACAATAATGCTAGTTTAACTTAAAACCTTAAAACTCAAGCAATCAAAAGTCGCTTATCCTTAATATTCAAGGAGTTTGCTTCTGCATAAAAACCTTTCTCAGAGTCCTTGGCACAAACAAAGTGTGCTTTTATCATGAAAAAGTGCATTTCTCCAACATACATCTGACCTGAACAGCTAATAGACCTGCCATTGATGTTCCCTATATCTCAAGGGAACCAGTACCAAGTGCAAATAGTTCCCAGTGTATATATAGAGACACCCCACAGAAGTAAATGAAGGACAGAAAACAGGACTATTCACAGTAACTACACTAAGATAATTGTAGCAAAGCTGGGAGAAAGAACCTCTATCACTGCAGAAAAAATTCAAGTGTTATATGTAGCCCATTCCTAAGTATCAATGTACTGGATTATGCAACTGACTTCAGCAATTCTCTGTATGTATAGAAGAGTATGCCTGTAAACTGGATATAAAACAAGCACTGATTTTTTTTTTCGTCCTTCTCCCAAGACTGCAAAGAAAACATTCAGTATTTACAAGGGACGCTTATCCATCTTCTGACATATAAGTTGCTTTTGAGTTATGGATTTCTCCCTATTTAATCAGTATTTTACAAAACAATCCCTTAGAGTCTACATATTCTCAACCAGGAGTCTCTGAAACTAGGATTCAGCAAGACAAGCAATTGAGATGTAAATATAATGATTTTTACATATTTTTATAGGACCTGAAAAATCACTTCAAGGGGCCCTCCAGGGTAAAAGGGTTCAGAAAGGCCTCTCAGGTCTATTTTTAAAGTTCTACATCACTTAAGTACATTACCCTCAAGGCTGAGGTCAAGAGGTAGACCTCCTGAACAGTAAATCAACACTTGTTTAAATCCAATTAATTGAAATCGGACTTCTTTAATCAGCACCAGCAATTGGATTTAAGCCTTATTTGGGTGCTTTACCATGGAGAAAGGCAATATAAACAACACCAATGTGCATGCCAGCAGGATCATCACCCTCAACTGTGTATTTTGATTTTCTATTATAGTCAGTCTTTTACTCTTGTGGATTTGATAGGGCTGTTGGTGCTGTGGAACTGTACCCCATGCCACTGCACTCCAAATGGCCATCCCTAGGTCTATCAAAACAAGAAAGCCAAACCTCAAACCAACCCCCTTGGTTATCAGCCAGCACGTCAATGACTTAAATCAAGAAATAGTTTTCTTAGATCTACAGAGACACTCGCTGGAACACCTCAGCAAGCGAGAGTCCAAAAGTGGCAGGCTCAAACCCAGCACCTCAATCCGTGGGTGATACCAGATGAGAGACTCCCCTGGGCACACAGAAGACTGGGCGACTTGGAAGGCGCTGAACAGACTGCGCTCTGGCACCACGAGATGCAGAGCCAACCTTAAGAAATGGGGCCACAAAGTGGAATCCACGACATGCGAGTGTGGAGAAGAGCAAACTACAGACCACCTGCTGCAATGCAACCTGAGCCCTGCTACATGCACAATGGAGGACCTTCTTGCGGCAACAC